ACGTCCTTGCAAAGGATGGCACACGACATGGCTGGGGTGGGACATGCGAAGGCTTGCTGCTGAGCCCCCTGCCGGATGTGTAGCCGGTGTTGTCCTGCACGCTGTTGCCGTCGAAGCCGCCATAGATCCAAAAGCGGTTCTGTCCATCCATAGCTCCCGTGCTGCCGTCGCGTCCAGAGGGCAAGGTCCCAGATGGGCTTTCTTGAACCCAAGCCAGTGACTCAGCCTGGCAATGCTGCCCGGAGGGTCTCCTTTCTTAGACCCTTAGGGCCCTCCTCAGGGGCCCTAGGAAAACGACTTTTCTGCGCGAGAACGAGCCTGCCTTGGTGTCGAGTGAATAGAGTTGGTTCTGATGACCTTGGACCAGAGAGGGGTTCCGTGCATGGCCACCCAACAGTCTCAAGCTGCTGAGCCCGCTGGCTGGAGCCGTCGTAGCCGCCGAACATCCACAGGCGGGAGCTGGTGTCAACGGCTGCCGCGCACCCGGACAGGCTGGGTGGTGTGCCGGTCGCAGACGGCGTGACCCAGACCGCAGTGAACGCCTGCGGGTTCGTGACTCGCTGCAAAAGCAGCTAGGCATACCACATGCCGCGGCGAGCGTGTTTCAAAGGCCTGAGGGAAATCCCAACGAGCCTTAGAGCCACCTCATGTCACAGCCAAAGGGTGAGAAACGGAAACTGCCGCCGGGGGGGGGGGGGGGGTTGTTCGAATGCACTTGCAACTGTCTTGTTTCCGGGCGTCCAGGCGTGTAATTTCAAGATGGAGCTTGCTGGCTTCAGCTCATCTTCGAAGTACGGTTGCAGCTTTGAGCTCTGGACCCTACTGCGCAATGCAAGCAAGGGCCAGGCAAGTCACAAAGAGCGAGCTCTTGAAATGGGTTCTCAAAGGACAGCTTGACACACCGAGGCCTGCGTCGTCCGGCAGAGCAGCGCGAACCTCAGCCAGAGGCACTGCTTCGGTGGAGCCTGAACTTCTTGGATGTAGTTCGGATGTAACCAGGAACAACTTTACAAGTTTGTTGAGGCGTGCTGGGCCGATCTGTCTAAGCTCAAACCCTCCAACCAGCAAGCGAAACTCCAGAACAAGAACATCTGGCCACGAACCGGCACACTTGACTTTTTTCAGGGGGCCCCTACTAAACAGGGTCCAACGGTACCACACGACCGACCAAATTCGAATGAGATATTGCTCAAAGATCAAAGAGTTTGCAAGCTTATATGTGTATACGTATGTGTATATATATATATACATTTCTGTATATTGCATTGCTTGTCTTCACACGGCAAATGCAATCACATGTGATTGGCATAGACGGCATTATGTGGAATCTGTGTTAAGGCAACATTTGGAACGTGTCAAACGCGCACGACAAGAATCCGATGAGCAATCGGCATCAAAAGCGTAGGAAGACAATGTGGGAGGACGCTGGTCATGTGTGCCGCTTGTTGGTTTTCTGCTTGTTTAGCTTGCTTGGTTGGTTGTATACAGATGTGAAGAAGCCAAATATGAAACAATGTTGCGAAAGGACTAACAAATTCAAAAACAAACAACCAGCCTCGTGCAAGGATATCAAAAAAGCGACAAAAACAGAAGAAAAACCACTGGACTTGGCAAACCCGTTTATTCAATGTTCCGCTTCCCGCTGTAACGGCTTTCTGTTTCAACTTTGAATTGGCGGCGACATGGAGTTGCTCCGATTTAGCTTGTACTCTAGAAGCTGATTGAATGGCAGAGCGCCAATCGCATGTGCAAAAAGGAGTTCATGTCGCCAGTAGCCTTCTTCTATGGCCGGAGCAAAATACAGAACTTCACTGCAGACACCCTGCAGGTGGTCCAAGCGGTACCCGAAGTCAGGCGCTGCTGCTGCCTGCCTCTCAACCCCACCCTCCCCCTGATGGCAGTTCTTGGAGGCCAAGAGCACGACGGTCATCAGGTCCCAAGGGCGGGAAGCCGGAGTGGGACTTCAGCAGGCTGAACCGGAGGAAGCTGCTGCTGGAGGTGTTGCAACGAATATAGTGTGACCGCAATTGCTCACACGGTTCCAACTTCGTCGTCCGTCATGAACTCACAGCACAAAGCATCTCAACTACCAATTCATGTGCATGCTGCGCAGCATCTTTGTTTCCGCCTCTGGAAACCAGCTCCGGAGCCCGCTCCGCAACCCGACAAGTTTCCAAAGTCACTACCTTTTCTCGAGGACGATTGTTTTCGCGATAAGCAGCTGTGAGCTGTAATTTAGGGTGTTTTCCATGTATCAGACAACTGATGCACACAAGATGATTTCTTAAGTTCCTTCAACGAATGCTATGGTATTTTCTGATTGTTGCTCCGAAGTGGAAGTTGATTGGTTCGCTGGTTTTGCCTGGCACCTTGGCCATGCAGTGCGGGGCGCTGAAAACAAGAACGTGAACATCCAGAAATACACGTACCCCGAAACAACCCTAAGCCCAATGCTTAAACTAAATAAAAGTCGATTTCTAAACTACAGACCGCAGACTTTATAACTCGCCTTAGACCCCCAAACACAACGTATGTGTGAACTCCGAAGTATTGTTACACATGCTAGGAATTGCTTGGGTTTTTCACTTGAATGATTTGCTTAAAAACTGTGAAATCAAGTTCCATTGAAAAATCAAACTTCACTAAACATTGGTTCAAAGACACAAAAAAGGCTGAAGTTTGCTCATGACCCAACACAATGGGGGTGAAACCTGTGAGCGAGACATGAGGTCTCCGGTAAAGTTCGGAGGCTAGAGCTTTGAGCTTCAGGCTTTGGAGCTCAGTTTGCAGTTTGGGACTTAGGGTCTAAGGTTTAGTGTGCCTTTTTTGCCACTCACCACTTTCGAACCCGGTGAAGCTCAAGGTTTGGAGTCTAAGGTTGGGAGTTAGGCTGGCCGAAGTCTTAAGGTCCCGAGAAGTTGGAGTTTAGGATTTTGACTGTGGATTCGACTGTGCTTGTATCTGAAACAAGGTAAAGCTGAGACTGCACGAGGAAAACGAATGTCCTGATGTGAGCGAACGAATACCTATCATAATTTCACTACCTGTCTTCAACCTGCAAATATATTGCAAAACTTGCGACAATACCGTATTAACGACCATCGTCACTAATTGAGAAAAGTTATTCTCGCTGAACAGGCGAAGAAGGCATTAGCAACAACTTGCTCCGCTCAGCCTTTGTTTCGAGTTCGGCTGGAGGTGGTCCAAATGTAACAGCGGATTAGCACTAGGGTGCTCAATCCCGGGTCCTACCTCAGCTCCAGTCACTACAGACTGCAAGAAGCACCCACATCATTCGTTGCAACAGCCACCAGAGCTGTCCAAAACAACCTTGCTGAAGCGATGCAAACCTAGATCTGGCAGACATCACACATGATCGCTTCCCAAAACGGGCCTGGGGGACACCTGAGGTTCTTGAGGCCGGCGCCGAACTGCGAAGCCCATTAGGCGCAGCATCATGCCCAAAAAGACACAACCCCGCGGCCCAGCCCTGTATTGATGCACAAAAACTGCGGATCAATGCGCTCCCGACACTGCAGACAGCCCTAGACTTCAAGTTCCCAACATGCAGTTCGATGCACCGCACACATGCCATCAAACCTCTACCACAATGCCGCCAGCATCTACACGCCACGTAGATTAACCATCATGAAGGGTTCCCCCGTGCTCATTCATTTTTGCCGGTTGAAGTGTTGGCATATGCTGGCCAACGCCACAGCTGCAGAAAAAAGACTCTGCCCATGCAATGTCTGTCACGCAGCAAACGCAAAGCGTCCCGAGCCATGCTTTCGGGGTTGTTTTGGGATCAACATGCCAAACGGCACACAGGTTCAGGGCTTAGAGTGTAGAGAGCATGACATAAGCGAAGCGCCTGCGCATCTTCCTTCAAACACCTTCAAGCTTTAGGGCTTCTTGTCTTCATAGCCCCCTTTCTGGGAAATCGGCCCACTGCCACTGCGGGGGCTCAGAGCTGCCCACTCCGCATTTCTTGTTTGCGGGCGTTGGTGATGTCGATTCAAGTTTTAGGGCCCATCGCTTACATGGAGCTCTGAAGTTCTCCATCTCTTTTTTAGACTTTACAGTCAATTTGGGGGGGAGTTTAAGAAGGCTTCTCAGGCATGGAAACAACGATGCAGGTGCAGAAACCACAGCCTTGCAAAGGTAATCCAAAAAGGCGATGCAGGAGCGAAGCTTCCGTGTGATTTTTGCAATCCTCCGGGGCCTGCGCTTCTGGATGCGAAGCGGTCACTGATGCCCCGTTAAGTTTGTCCACAACCAGTGGTTCTCAACTTGCTAGATCTTGTTGACCAAGATCGAGGGAAAGCCAGCTGCCACGCTAATCAGCAGATCGATGAGTGTCAGCGCACACAAGGGCTCGTTTGCTGAGGTCCACCGCTGCAAAGACTAAGCAGTTTTAGATCAATGAGATTCAAAGAACCACTCCACCACTTGCAGACGCAGACACATTCCAGCCGTGGCATCGGCTTGTCTCCTTCTTGTACAGCTTCATGCACATCCATGACCCAATGATGTCGCGCCGGCAGTGCATCGGATGCCTTTAGGTTTTCGTTGGTTTTTTCATAGGGAAAACCCTATTTTCTTGTTGGGATAAGGGAAGCCTCTGAGAAGGCTGAAGTGGAGAAGGGCACCATGCCTTTGTGTGCAGGATGTTCTGCATATGTAAGCATTGCTACAGCACAGGTGTGCAGGACGTTCAGCATATGTAAGCATTGCTTCGGCACAGGCGAGAGCAGAGCTCCGCATATGTAAGCATTGCGACTGGATTTTGGCTCAAGCATGAAAAAGTGCGTGCCTGGATTGGGGTGTGAGGGTTTTGGGGGGTGTTTCCCGGGTGGTTCCTCTAGCTTAGGCTGGTCTAGCCTCTTCCGGACCCCCCCTAGCCCGGTGGTCCCCGTCCAGGGTTTTTTCCGTCTTGAGGGTTTGGTTGAAGCTGGGGCTTTCTGGGTGTAGTCCTGGTTTCCCTTAGATCCCTCTTTTCGATGGCCGCTCCTGCGCCCTCCGCCCCTGGTCCTCACGAGGACCAAGGGGTTATGAGCCCAACTGGTGCTCGGCGTGCCATTGATTCGAGATTGGAAGGTGAGACTGCTGGTCCGCGCTACGATCGTCATCCTGCTGGAAATGCGATGCCCAATGGGGTACTTTCGGCTGATGTTGTAAGGCGTGAGGATATGGTGCAGGCCTCACCTGGTGCAGCGAGTTTGGAAAGCGCTCCATGGCCACCAGCTATGACTTCAAGGACAGAAGATGTGGGACCGCCTGGTACATTTTCCTGTGATTCCGGGCTTCGCCAAGAAACGTCTTCCGTGTCTGCTGGGAATGTGGGGCCAACGATTCCGCACTTGGTCGCGCGGGCGAGTACGGATAATCACCCGGGAGGCTCCCAGGGTGGGACTGCCTTGCCAGTCCCGTCCTGGATGAGTCGTCTCGGGGATTATCTTCGCCAAGCTTCCGGACAGGTTGAGACGCTGACAACGACGCTCACGAGGCAACGAGTGTTGGGTAGTAGTGGTGGTTTAGTGGTTCAACAACATGAGCAGTTGCAGCAGCAGCATACCACTTCGCACCCCTCCACACCGCAGCATGCAACATACCCGGCAGCAGCGGCAACAATGTCTGGTGGTTTTTCTCCGACAGGACAACAAAGTGGGGATCCTCCTCTGTTTCCCAGCAGTGCTCGTCGTATTATGGAAGGCTGGGCAAGACAGGCTCCTTTGCTGCGTGGTCCGAGGAGTGTGGGAACAGACGATGCTTCATCGGCGTCCATTCCGGTGGAGTTGGTGCAGGAGGAGGTGAGAAGACAAGTGGAAGCGGCCTTGGCAGGACAGAAGGGAAGGCTTGAGCGCCTTCAAGAAGAAAATGAGCGATTGCGGGAGATGGCTTTTGGGGGTGGTGGCGATGTGAAAGGACAAGGCCGGGGTGGGGCTCTATGGAATGAGGCGCAGCGGCAGATGAGGGAGCAGTCTGAGCTTCCTGAGGATCGTGGTGTACCTCATGGAGATCGGGCCTACTCAGCATCGCAAGTGCTTCATGAGGATCGTGGTGTACCTCATGGAGATCGGGCCTACTCAGCATCGCAAGTGCTTCATGAGGATCGTGGTGTACCTCATGGAGATCGGGCCTCTTTCGCAACTCAAGTGCTTCATGAGGATCGTGGTGTACCTCATGGAGATCGGGCCTCTTTCGCAACTCAAGTGCTTCATGAGGATCGTGGCGTACCTCATGGAGATCGGGCCTCTTTCGCAACTCAAGTGCTTCATGAGGATCGTGGCGTACCTCATGGAGATCGGGCCTCTTTCGCAACTCAAGTGCTTCATGAGGATCGTGGCGTACCTCATGGAGATCGGGCCTCTTTCGCAACACATGCACTTCGTGAGGATCGTGGTGTACCTCATGGAGATCGGGCCTCCTCAGCATCTCATGCACTTCGTGAGGATCGTGGTGTACCTCATGGAGATCGGGCCTACCCAGCATCTCATGCACTTCGTGAGGATCGTGGTGTACCTCATGGAGATCGGGCCTCTTTCGCTCATGCACCTCGTGAGGATCGTGGTGTACCTCATGGAGATCGGGCCTACCCAGCATCTCATGCACTTCCTGAGGATCGTGGTGTACCTCATGGTGATCGGGTCTTTGCAGCAACAAGTGTGACTTCTGGGGTTCGGGGAGCTCTTCGGGAAGGTCGTCAACCAGTTCCGTCGATGTCTCGGGCCCATGATGGTCCTCGTGCACAGAGGGGCGAAGCTGGTGCCAGGTCAAGAAGTGCAGAAGGACATGGCGAGCTTGGGAACAGGCCAAGGAATGTGTATGCTCGTGGTTATGGTGCCAAGCGATCTGCCTCAGCGAGTCCGTCGCCAAGTGGTGGTAGAGGAGTTGTGGGTGAGAGGTTGTCTGGAGGGGATGTCTGTGGTGTCCCGCCGTTTGACCGAGCCTTCAGGGCTCGCTTGGAGCCTGAGCTAGGGATAAGGGGAGATTATGAGCCGCTGAAGAGACCTGAGGGAGTTGCAACCCTTGGTGCGCCTTGTGAAGCTCCTCCTGGTCTCAGTCCTCCCGTTGCTCCAGGAAGCGAGCAACAACCAGGCGATGTGGCGCCTGCAGCTCCGTCAAGCCCTTCTCCGATGGACATTGTGCTTACAGGTATCGGGCAGCTGCAACAGATGTTGCTGAAGAAGGGAGACGGGTTGGATGTGGATAAGGCGTCGCCGAATTTTCCGATGTTGCCTGACTACACTCCGGAATCTGGTGCCATAGACTTCCAGGACTGGCTGTATCTTGTGGAGCAACAAGTGTCTGCTATGGCGGCAAGCGCTGGCGAGTGGTGGAAACAAGTCATGGGTTCGGCCTTGGAAGCATACCAGGAGTATCAGGCGCTTTCGCCGATCAAGCGGCTTGGGGTGAAAGCAAGGCTATCAGAGGAGCTTCAGGACGGCAAGTACCAGAAGCTTGCGAAAAAGGTGGCAGCCTTACTTCTAGCAGCGCTTCCGACAGGTGTCCGAGATGAGCTAGTGGCCTATCGTGTGCAGGGGACTCATCAGATACTGTTCAGGCTGATGGCTGTGTACCAGCCTGGGGGCGCTCAGGACCGGGCACAACTTCTGAAACAGTTGGAGGTGAGTGAATCTCCAGGAACAGCGACGGATGCAGTGGTTGCATTACGGAGATGGTATCGCCTGTACCAGCGAGCTTTGGATCTTGGTGTTTCCTTGCCAGATGAGTCCGTCCAGGTGAAGTCTTTGGGGGTCTTAACGAAGAAGGTGGCGGAGACAAATCAAGACTTTCGCTTTAAGGTGTCCTTGGCGAAGGCGGAGCTTCAGATTGACACCAGACCCACCTCGGAGAATGTGTTGAAGTACTTCCAACATCTCCTTGCAGAATGTGAGCAGCTTGGGGCTACTGGGAGAAAGGCTACACCGTCACAGGCATCGGAGGCTCCCGGACCCAAACTGAAGGGCATGCAGCAACAGCCCTCAGATGCCGGAAATACCACTCAGAGGCCAAAGGCCAAGGCCTCTCCACCGCCTACGAATCCGACAAAGCCGTGTTCATGGTTCACTACTGATGATGGTTGCAGAAATGGAAAGAACTGCAGTTTCAGGCATTCGTGGGAGGGTCTTCAGCGAGCCGAACGGTGCCTCCTTTGTGGTTCGACGAAGCACAGGGCAAGGGATTGTCCTACGAAGAAGGTGAGTCCTACTGACAAACCGGCCCCAAAGCCGAGGTTGGCCAAACAGCAGGCTGCAGCAGCTACTCCTACAACAGGGGCAGCTTCCTCGGAAGGTCCTTCGCTTTCGTCAGGTCCGTCGGTGCCGGCTGGAGATGCTACTCGTGAGCAGCCTTCAAGCCTTACTCCTTCAACCTCAAACAAGATCGACACGGAGCAGGTGGCGGCGATGTTGTCCGAAACAAACAAGATGCTGAAGGCCTTGACTTCCACTCAGGCTCAGGGCTCTGGCACAGGTTCGGCTTCTTCGGCGCCCTCGGATCCTTTGGGGGTTATACAGAGACAGTTGGAGGATTTGCGGCGACTGCGAATGCTGGTGGTGCTTCCGGAGAGGGTTGGCAATGAAGACTTCCGTGTGAAAATGGATGTGTATGAACGGTTGCTGCAGACTGAGCCAGAGGCGGTTGAGAAGGATTCCGAGGAGAAGATGGCCCTGTTGGATTCGGGAGCGAGCCATGCCTTTCGGGTTGCTGTTGACGATCGTGAGGTGGAACAAGGAAAGTTGGTGAAGGTTGCCTTGGCCAATGATGATCACGTTGTCCTTTCGCAGAACGCTGGTGGAACCCTGTTGTCTTCGCCTTCTACGAACCCTTCGGGTGGTGGAACGATACTACCTATGGGACAGTTGGTGCAGTTGCTTGGATGCACGGTACGATGGTCTCCGACAAGGCTTGAAGTTCGACACCCGATCCATGGCAAGTTGCGAGTGAAAGTCAACCATTTCTGCCCAGAGCTGACCGAGGTGAGCGCGCTACAGCTCATCAAGGAATTGGAGGAAAAACGGGTTGGCGAGTTCACGAAGACCTTGGAGGATATGGAGAGGCAGCTCAAGGAGATTGAGCTCTCGGGCTGTGGAGATCGCGGTTGGGAACAGCACCTCATGGATCTGGTGGAAACTGGGGCTCGAACGAGTTTCTGTGGCTTCATCCAGAAGGTGCCCTATTTGCAGGGGGTGACCCCGGAGGCTTTCGCGACCATCCCTGAGGAGTTCCCGGTGACGAACAAAGAGGGCTGGAGGCTCTTGAAGGGCATGCCGTGGAGTAGAAGGAAACGAAGGAGTATGTTCCTTAGCAACAACTGGCTGGTGCATCTCTTCTCGGGAGACAAAAGGAAGAAGGGGCTGGCTTCTTCAAGCGAATGGAAGGCCAGTCTGCATCGTGATGATGTTCTGGTGGAGGTGGACCTGAACCTTAGCAGTCACTTCGACATGTTAAAGAAGGATGGCATCTTCAAGCTGCTTTTGTGGGGAGCTGCTCGGGGCAAAATTAAGGCTCTATTTGGGGGACCGCCTCGAAGAACCTTTCCCTTTACAGGAAATGAGACGATGCTGTCCTCGCAACATGTTCGGGAAGTTCAGCTGGTTGCCAGGGCGATGATCCTTTGGTCAGTAGCTTCTGAGGGTAGGAGGATCCTTTGGAGAGAGGGATCTTTAGAAACCCCGGGTCCTGGAGTTGGTTGGTTGCTGGAACATCCGAGAGTTGAATCGGGGAAGGTTCCTGGACTAGAGCAAGGCGACAACAAAGAGAGTGACCTTGAGGAGCAAGAGAGGCTGGCTAAGGAATGGTTCGACCTGGGCAAGTTTTCGCATCGTGAGTGCCGCATGTTGTTGGAAGAGATGAACTTCAAGAAGAACTTGCGAGCCTCATCCCGAGGCGAACAAGAAGGATCTGTGGTGCTTGGCGCATATGCTCATGGCGGCAATCGGGGGGTTACTACAGAGGCACTCCAGAGACCGTGGTTGACGAAGTACCTGAACATGTTTATGCGGTGGAATGTGGAAACGCAGCTGCATGAGGATTGCTCTTGGTCGGCTTTGTTGGTCATGGAGACGAATGAAGTGCCTCGACATCGAGATGTCCGGAACGCTCGTGATAGTAACAACTACTTGATTGGGTTGGGCGATGATGATCCTGGCCGCGAGGTTTCCTCCGGTCTGTGGCTTGAAGGGGACCTGGATGGACAGAATGGGTTGGGCGATGATGATCCTGGCCGCGAGGTTTCCTCCGGTCTGTGGCTTGAAGGGGACCTGGATGGACAGAAATTTGGTGGTGGAGGGAGATGTGTCGAAAGGTCCTGTCCATTCTCTGGCTTTGAACAATTAAAGGGCTGTTTGGTTGAGATCTCTGGAAGGATGACGAGGTTCAATCCAAAACAACACCATGCGTATGTGGGGAAGGATCAAACTCAGAAGGAGCTTCTCGTGGCGGCCTACACACCTCTCGGCCTCGACAAGTTGCCGGATGAAAAGGTCGGGAAACTTCGATGCTTGGGTTTTCCGATACGCTCAACCTTGGAATGGGATGAGGGCCCAGCGCTACATGGAAGGGACCAGGTTCGTGAGGCTCAGGAGGAGCTGGAAAGTGAGGATGAGGAGGAGGCCAATGGACGGGTGCCATGCTACGACCTGTTTGGAACGACCATGTGGAAAACCTTCGCGAGGATGTACACCATGGATGAGGTCAAGTGTGATTTGGAAAACTTGGGACCTACGACTTTGGGTACGAACCTCAATCTCTGGTCTTTGGAGGGTGAGGATGGTCATGGTCTGAAGGCCGGTACAAGAACAAGTCGATGGCCAACGGGGATGATAAGTTCTGTCTGTGATGCTCTATGTGCTTGGCCCGGTTTTGCTACGCGAGAACATGCTTTGACCAGTATGGTTCGAAGGCTGGGAAGGCGAGATGGTGAAGAAGGTGAAGGGAAGCTCGCTAAATTCAGCTTGGAGGAATGGCGCATTCACCTGAGACGGGACCATTTGCCATACAGGAAGGATTGCCGGGAGTGCATCCAAAGGGCGACGGGCAAGCCACATAGGAGAGTCGCTCATCCTTCAGCGTATGTCCTGAGCATTGACACTGCTGGTCCGTTTAGGGCGACGGGCACTGATGGAGCGCGCTACCTGCTAGTCGGGTGTTTCCGCTTTCCTAAGATCCCAGAAACAGGGGACCCTGAGCAGTCTGGTGTGCAGCCTGGGGACGTGGACAAACCGGATGACGAGGGTGATTGGTTGCCTGGGATGGAGGGCGAGGATGTCGTATCAGAGGTTCCTGCTACTGAAGGTGCGCCTGTAGGGGTCTCGGAGGAGCTTGGCCCTGATCCTGCTGCTATTCGTGAGGAAGATGATCCGAAACAGGAGGAGATCAAGGCCCTGGAGCGTATGTCTGAGCCCTTCGAGTTCGAGTCTGCCTATCTTTGTCGACCCTTGAAGACCAGGAAGAAGGCGGAAACACTCAAGGCCTTGCAGGAGATGTACCTGTCTCTAAGACAACGGGGCCTGCCAGTCTTACGAGTACATTGCGACCGAGCAAGGGAGTTCATGAACGAGGGTATGGACATGTGGGCAGCGGCGAGGGACATCATAGTCACGAAGACTCAAGGCGATGATCCGTCACAAAATGGGGCGGCGGAGCGGGCTGTTGGTTTCATCAAGGGCCGGGTGCGAACTTTGCTTGGACAGGCCAAAGCCTACAGCAAGCTTGGAGATGCCGTAGTGAGATCGTGGTGGTCAAGGGCGGCATCAACGATTTGCCAACAACACGCTGCTCAGGCCTTTGGAAGGGGCAATCCTAGCGTCGCTCCTTTCGGATCACAGGTGTTCATCAAGAGGAAGAGGTATGGCCAAGGGGGCACTGACTTCGAGGACAAGTGGATCCAGGGGTCTTATTTGGGGCCTGTTGAGACAGTCTCCCATGGTCATGTTGTTCGCACCGTGCAGGGCAATGTTTGGTACACAACAAATGTCCGTCGCCTACCCGAACTACCTCCGTACGAAGATGAAGGTGATGACTGGCATCCTGAACGACGCGTGGTTGGAAAAACACCGCCTGTGGTGCGAGTCTTTAGGGCCGACGAGGGTGGCGAGGATGGCAACGTCTTTTGCATGAGCAGATTGGTGGAACCAGTGTCGACAACTACTGACGCTGTTCCGGATAATGAAACCACTGAAGGTTGGATGGAGTCCGCTGGAGGTGAAGACGCTGGTGACGATATGGATGAGTCCCAGTGGTTGGTGGAGGACCAAGAGGGTGAGATGGATGGCCGCTATTGGTCTCGCTGTGTGCTAGATGAGGAACACAACTTACGACGATGTGTGCCGGAGGACTATCAAGAACTGTTTGAGGGTGTGAACCAGGCGACGTTGGAAGCTGAAAGGGCTTTGGAGCAAAGGGAGTCGCAGAAGGTTTACAAGACCTACTCGGTTGGGGATTGGTTCCGGCTATGTCGCTTTGTGGAGGATGATGACGGGAAACATGGTGTCGAGCCTGTCTTGGAGAACCTTGAAGGTCCTCTTCAGGTCGTATACACTGTACAGCTTGACGAGGTGAAGCAATTCCTTCCGCGGTGGAAGGAGGCCATTGGAAAGGAGATGAAGGCTCTGCTGGATGCGGGAGCCTTGGTTCCCCTCACGGAGGAGGAGCATCGTCGTCTTGAGAGGGCGGGAGTGTTATCTATACTTCCGGCTAAAGGAGTCTTCACGGCAAAACCTCCAGACAATCCTGAGCTGCTTGATGATCCTGGAAGAGAGTTGGTGAAGGGGTCGCCTTCATTCTTCAAAAGAAAGGCTCGTCTTGTCATATGTGGCAACTTCGAGGGAAGGAGTCAGAAGGAAGACAGCTATGCAGGGGGATGTCAAGGGGAGTCCTTGAGGGCGATGATTGTTCATGCCGCACACAAACGAGGTGGATCACGTCCTTGGAAGGCAGCAGGAACAGACATCAGGAATGCCTTCATCTTGGCCCCGATGGACGATGGCGAGGTGGTGCATTGCCTTTACCCTCCCAAGGTGTTCCAGGCGGCGGAAATACCGTTTGCGAAGTGCTTATTTCGGGTGGACCGAGCTCTTTATGGCTTTAGGCGCTCTCCGAAGCTGTGGAGTACCTTCCGGGACAACAGACTGAGGCGAGCTCGATTCAAGGTGGGAGAGCTGGATGCCTTCCTCAGACAGCACAGGGCGGATGAGAATGTTTGGAGTGTGGTGGTCATGACGCCTGGCCCAGATGGAACGATGCAGGAAGAAGTTCGGGCATTCGTCAACGTTTATGTTGACGACATCTTGTATCTGGGTGAGGAGGAGGTCGTTGCGGCTACTCATGGGTGGATCACACAAGAATGGAAGGCCTCGGATTTGACATGGGCATCCATGGAACAGCCAGTTCGTTTCCTGGGGCTAGAGATCTACGAGACGCTCAACGGCTTCAAGATCGGGCAGACTGGCTACATATCTGAGGTACTTCGACACTATGATGTTCAGGGGCATGGTCACGGGACGCCATGTCCTCAGTCATGGCTGCTGGGGGAGGTGAACTTTGATGAGAAGCAGTACGACGAGCAGACCTTGAGGCGTGCTCAGAAAATCACTGGCGAACTTCTCTGGCTTTCAACAAAGGGCCGGCCAGACTTGATACACACAGTTGCCACCATGAGCAGTCTGTGCGTGAGGGACCCTGAGACTGTGGAGCGCATCGGCATGAGAACCTTGGGCTACTTGAAGGCGACGGCCGATTGGTTCTTGTTCTACGAGCCGACAACCCACAACCATGATGTGGAGGGTTACAGTGATGCCAGCTTCGCCCCCCAAGGGGGGCGGAGCATCGGTTGCTCGCTGGCTTGCTATCTGGGGTGCCCCATATCTTGGCGATGTGGGAGACAACCACTGGTTTCTCTGTCTGTTGCCGAGGCAGAGCTCATAGAGGCTGTCAATGCCATCCAGATGGTCTATGGACTCTCATCTTTTACCTCCGAAATCAGGCCGGACCCTCCTCGCCTGGGACTTTACGTCGACAATCAGGCTGCTGTAGGACTGTGTTCCGAGGCAGCTGGAACTTGGAAAACTCGTCACCTACGAGTTCGTGCCTTTCATCTTCGTGAGGCGGTGCGTCTCAAGGAGATTACCCTTCGACATATCCCTGGTGTTTCTCAATTAGGAGACTTAGGTACAAAGGCCTTCTCGAAGCCAAGACTCCTGGAGCTTTGCCGTATGTGGGGATTGGGAACAACTTCGCCAAGAGAGCAGCAGCCGGGACCAGCAACAGGCAGCACTGCAGCAACGGCACACACTACAACACCGGGGGTGGTTGGGGTGATAGCTAGATTGGTGTTGCTTTTGGGTTGGTTGGTTCAGGGTACTCGTGGAGCCTCGACAAAGCGAAGTTCGAATGTTCCTGCTGAGGATGTTGGAGGGATACAAATCAGTGTTGCTTGGGAGTTTTATGCGCTGGTTTTTGTCAGCTTGGTGGCTGCGATTGGTGCATGGGAGGCGATCAAGTGGCTGTTCGAGTGGTACGCTCTGAAGAGGGATTGTTCAGTCTCGGAGGCAAGGAATGCTCGGCGGCTACGGCGACTGCAACAGGCTGTGCAGCAGGAGCTGGGTTCGTATGGTTTGGGACAGAATGGCCCTATGACACCTGAGCTAGCTCCAAGGCACAGCCCTGCATCCGCTCCAGAAGGGCGCGGTCCGGTTCCCTCGCTGGATAGGTCGGCCTCTTCTTGGGAAGAACCGCCACCTCCTGTACGTCAGACGCGGCGAAGGACACGAGATGCCAACACTCAGACCCCTCGTGAAGCTTATGTGAAGTTTCGGGGCCCCTTCTTTGCATCTCAGCGGGGAGATCACGTCCACCTTTACGGAGATTGTCAAGGCCTGAAGAGCGCCTACACGAACATCGATGCAAAGGGCATGTGTGCCTACTGCGACGGTCGAAAATCTCTGTATGAGCTGGTGGGCTGAATCTGTGCTGAGAACAGCCCAAGGAGGAGTGTTGGGATAAGGGAAGCCTCTGAGAAGGCTGAAGTGGAGAAGGGCACCATGCCTTTGTGTGCAGGATGTTCTGCATATGTAAGCATTGCTACAGCACAGGTGTGCAGGACGTTCAGCATATGTAAGCATTGCTTCGGCACAGGCGAGAGCAGAGCTCCGCATATGTAAGCATTGCGACTGGATTTTGGCTCAAGCATGAAAAAGTGCGTGCCTGGATTGGGGTGTGAGGGTTTTGGGGGGTGTTTCCCGGGTGGTTCCTCTAGCTTAGGCTGGTCTAGCCTCTTCCGGACCCCCCCTAGCCCGGTGGTCCCCGTCCAGGGTTTTTTCCGTCTTGAGGGTTTGGTTGAAGCTGGGGCTTTCTGGGTGTAGTCCTGGTTTCCCTTAGATCCCTCTTTTCGATGACCGCTCCTGCGCCCTCCGCCCCTGGTCCTCACGAGGACCAAGGTTTCTTTACATTTTGGACGGATTTCCTGTCATTTCCCTTAGGTTGTTCTTGGTTTTTCCTTGGGAAAATCCTATTTTCCTTACATTTTGGACAGATATCCTGTCATGTCCTTGTGGTTTTCGTTGGTTTTTCGTAAGGAAACCCTATTCTGCCTATTCTGCTTACATTTTGGACGGATTTCGTCAAACGTAAAAGCGTACGTTGCTTCTCCTTAGTTTTTCCTAGGGAAAACCCTATTTGGTTCGTTTTCTTGGTTTCTATCATTCCCTCTATATTTTCATTGGATTTCATCCTACTTTTTCGTAAGATTTCTTGTTAATGCTTTCTTTTGTGATTCGCTTTCTTGGTTTTTCGGCTTTGAAGCACGCTTGGTACGGCATTTGTGTGATCCACTCGTTCCAGCAACGTAAGCGTCACCAGCGTCATCTAGCCGTAAATAGTGCGCCCCCTGGTCCAATCCACTGGAACCGGCTTGGTGCGCCCAGACCAGCGTACCAGCAACCGCGTCGACTGCGCACAGCAAGAAATCCGTGCCGCCTGCACTGGGAAGGCCGTCCAAAGCTCCAGACCCGGCAGCAAAGAGGTATCCCGACGCGTGGAGCTGCATGGCGTTGAACCGGTCATGGTCAGAGCCACCGACCTGCAGGTTCCAAAGGACCGACCCGGAGGCACTGACTTTGATGATGATCGCATCTTCTCCGCCGCTGGCGCTGAAGCCTGGCAGCGACCCGGTGGTTGTGCCTGCCACGTAAGCATTTCCTGAGGAGTCCACCGCCAAAGCAGTTGAAGTGTCAGATGCATCAGTTCCTGTCTGGAGGATGTAGCTTTCGGCCCCCTGACTCGTGATTTTGCACACAACTATGTCACCGAGGTTGTTTGTTCCATTCAGGCTTCCCCCTGTATAGCCTGTAAAAATAGCATCTCCGGACGGATCCAGTTGAAGATTACCCCCCCCCAAAACATGAACCTGTCCCGAACTTGCGGTGTCATACGTCCAGTAGCGACCTCCCGCAGAGCTCACTTTGATCAGGCTGACTTGACTCCGAGACCATTCCAACTGAATGAAAATGTCGCCTGAAGAGTCAACTTTCAATGCCACGAGTTTTTTTCGTAACCGCTTCTTGTGGACTGCCATGTCCATTCGCGTGTGCCAGAGGTGCTCACTCTGATCACAAATGTCTTCCCACTACTGGAGGTACCGTCATCAGGATCCACGCATCTAGCGACCCTGTGGTCGTCCCTGCGACAACGATGTCCCCGGAAGGGTGAAGCTCCACTGCGTAGCCACTGGCGTAACGACTTGATGCACGTTCAAAGGTCCAATCCACCAATCCATGGGAAAGCTTCTTAAGCACGATCTGAGTATTGCCGTCCGCTTTGCGGGCAAAGCCAGCTGCGTAGGCTGCCCCGCTGGAGTCCACAGCAACATCGGAGACCCAATAGAAAGTGGACACATCCCACTGCTGCAACCAATCTAGCTGCCCCTGAGCAGTGTATTTCAGAAGCAGTCCATCCCCACTACCGTAGGTGTATCCGTCGAATGCACCTGTAGTACTTCCTCCAAGGACTATGCCTCCGGTTGGATCTGGGGCTGAGCAAGACAGAAACTCAGTTCCCGTTGTGCCTTGAAAGGCGGTCCACTCTGTCTGCTGAGACCAGGCACTTTGGAGAAGGAACACGAACGTCCATCCATTTCCAAAGCGTGACATGCCGCAAGGACTGGACGCCGACATGGGGGCTTCGACAAGATGCGCTCTCTGTTTTCAGTTCAATGCTAAAGGTCATGATCATTGAAGGGGCAATCCGACTGCTCTCTTATGAATGTTGTAGACATGATTCTGTGCAATGTGGCCGCTCAGCTCGCAAATCTCACTTCGGAGCATGTTCAATACATGCATAAGGCACTGAGGAGGTGCAACACATGCATAAGGCACGCACAATGCATGGTGGTATCCCGACGCTTGCAGCCCGGGACTTTTCCACGCCGACGCTGAGGTTTCCAGGGACGAGGGACTCAACATCTATCGGCTCACCCGATACGCGGCCTTCTCAAAGGACAGCTTAGATACCCTCAACAAAACACTCGATGTATGCAAGCCCGAGTGCAGTACTGCATCCAGCACGGAACTGGCGGAAAACATAGGCCTGGGTCCGGATGGGGAATGCCGGGACGATTTGAAGCTTCATGTAGCAGTGTAGCAAAAGTTCCATTCCACGACGTCCTTCGAGAAAGCACGGACAGGATTTCTACGAGTCAGGCGCCTCGGTGGAGTGCAATCGTATCCTCTTCGAAACGGATTACATCCCAGTATACAAACAGAGTATGCAGCATTCTACAGTACATACAGCATGCAGTATGCAGTAGCGCTAGACACATCTGCTTTCCTCTATCGGATTCCCTGTGAATCGCCCCTGTGAATCGCCCCCCCGGGCTCCCGCGAGACTGCGCAAGAACACAGATGCAGGGTTCGGGTAGGTGGATAAAAGCCACGCAGCGGTAGCAGACCATCACCCTGTGCGCTTCTTGTTTGGCGCTTGACTGTTTTCGCAGACAGACACGAGGATCACATGGGCGGGCCCTCGTGACTGTCGCTTGTTAAAAAGCATCGTGTTTTTCAACAGTGCAGACACGACGGGACGGCGCCTCGCACAATTGTCCTCACCTTTCTAAGCTTCCTTTTTTTCAGCCCCAGAGACAATCACGAGGATGAGGCACGTGGGTGGTGATCCTCCTGAATGGTTTTGATTATCGGGGAACGGTGAAGAACTACAAAGGGTGCCCTCGTACACAATCCGAAATCGCGGAGCATGATTCAAAAAAAGACTGAAAACAGTGGACGCCTCACACCTACTTCTGAGGGCCATGCGAGAAGAGAAACTGCAAATGAAAAGAAAACCTCTCTCACGCCTCAAAGTGGTCTTCAGTATCGAGGGGCGAGTGGTGAATACCTACAAAGTGTTCCTGCTTCCGGTTTTGCTTACCGGGGGTGGATGTGAACAACTACAAGGTGTGCCTAATCTAGGTTTTGCTTTTCCGGGCTTCGCTTATGGCATCATGGAGATCAAACGGGGTGAAGGGGAACGCCCACAAAGTACTCCGGAATCCAGGTTTTGCTTATCGGGGGGTGAACGGTGGACACCTACGAATTGTTCCAATCGCTACAACGTGTCGACGATTCCGGGTTTTGCTTGTCGAGGGGGCGCACGGTGAACACCTACAAAGTCTTCCGGTTTTGCTTTCGGGGGGGGGGGGGGGGGGGGGGGTGAATCCATTCCGACTCCGTGGGTTGTTTTCCCGGGGTGTTGGTGAGGGGACGTGCGGGAACGGGGGAAGGGGGGGGTGGGGGGTAGGGGGGGGGGGAGGGGGGGTGGGGGAGTGGAAGGGGGGGGGGGGGGGGGGGGGGGGGGGGGGGGGGGGAGTGGGGGGGGGGGGGGGGGGGGGGTGGGGGGGGGGGGGGGGGGGGGGGGGGGGGGGGGGGGGGGTGGCGGGTGAAGGTGTTCACCTACAAAGTGTTCCTGGACGCAAGTTTTGGGCTATATGGATTGAATGGTGGACACCTACAAGATGTTCCTGCTTATGACCTGTTGCGGAGGCAGGAGAGGGGGGGGGGGACGGAATGAGATACACACATGTCCAGTAGTGACGTTGCAGCCGGCACGGACGCAACGTGCAAGAGGCTGCCTGAAAATGCGACAGTGCACTGTGTACAACAACGAGATCAGGGAGTAGGTGTGTAGGCTAGCGACCAATGTATTCTGTTCTACATGCCCTGTCGGTGCCCCTGTTTAGGCAACCTGCGTTTTCAATAGCTGTCATGTGCCTCCTTACGCTTGTGCTTATGCTTGTTGCTTGATATTGTTCAGAAGTGGTTTTTGTTGAGCTGCATCTGCCTTAGTGATGTTGCATTTTGTCTGTGTTGAATGCCCCTAGTGTTGCCGTTGCTGGCGAGTGGGTGTTGGTGAGCGGTTTTTTTCATCGTTTTGTGATCGCCTTTGTCACGCTTGTATTCCACCTTCTTGACTACTCACTACTTAAAGTCAGCCCATAGAAGCGAAAGCACCAAGCTCTGACTGAAACACACACGAAGTCAACAGCACGGATTGCGCTGATCAACAACGCCACGACTCCCCATAAGCTCCAAGCGACACTCAGTCCACGCCCCAGTAGCCGAATGGGATGCCTCAATCTTTCAAAAACTGGGAATGAACCCATTTCCCTGACCACTCCTAGCATGAGCCAGACCTGGGAGGCTGTTTCGGGTTCCCGACCCGATGGGCTGTAGCTGGCCCGATTTCGGTAGGCCATCAGCTGGCCAGAACCTCTCTACGCGCTCCGAACTTGAAAGCATCGACTCGAAAACTGGGCCTTAGAATTCCGACAGCCGTGAAACCTACGCCCACCTTGCCCTTGGCCAGGCGCTAGCTTCTGTGGCACTCCAAGTAGGACGCGCTCCTTGATATCTTGGAAACACAGGGCTGTCGGGTCTTTTAGGGTTTAGGGTATAGAGTCATGACTGCAGCATACTGGCCTTGCCAGTCAGAAGTGTGGGCAGGCAATCACCTGCAAGGCTGGAGTTCGACTCATCAAATGCCCTAACTACCTTGCCGGCTCATCTGTACTGACATGGGCAGCATTGGCAAAAACCCGAATACAACCTTGAAACCTGTTGAGCCTTAGGAACGATGCAGGCACATCCACCAACAAAGAATATTGATCAAAGTGGCCCGACTGAAGCCACGACACACAGATCACCTGCGACTGCGCAAACTTGTCAGGGCAGGATCACAAGAGATCACAAGGGTGGCTTATCGTAATCAATACCTTTTTTCGGGAACGTTCACTGCTCGAAGTGAGTGCAACGATACTCTCTAGCGATTTCAACCTTGTGAAATTATTTGTTGTTCCAGTTTCTTCTACGAAGGCGCAACGCGGCTCAATGCGCCAGAGCGGCAAGATCATGTCCGCCCACGCGCAAAAACAAAGGTTTGGTGACCAAGACAAGCCACGTCTGCAACACAATCAACCTGAGGGTCGCTCACACTGTGTTTAGACAAAACCCTCGGGCCTGGATTGCTCCAGTCAGTTCCTGCGTGCACCGGCACCCTAGACCGTAAACCCTGTTCTGGGGAGACTTCGGGACCTGTTTCGCATAGCCTGACAGCGCCAAGCGCTCTGAACACTCACAGCTTCGCTGTCCAGGCTAAGTGCGCGCATGTCGCGTGGGATGCATGTTTCCCAAGTCCTTGATGTCCTCTGTTGCCATTGTGACAGCCTGCCAGCATGAAGTTTTGGCAAACGCACGCCTGACGCCCGCAGGCTGCACCTGCTGCTCGCCGACAATGGTGAACAGATCGTGGCTCCTCCTGACAGTGACATCGCGGCGCTCCTGCAACTCGGAAGCTTGGAGACATTGACGTGGCTACAGTGTCTTGAAAATGCTTGAGGAACGAAGATTAGCCTGACCCCTGCAAAAAGTGAGACACACAAGTGCCGAAGTGTGACATTGCTAATTGCGGGGCACTGACGGCTCAAGTCGCTTTGAACTCTAAATAAAGGACACGCGCATGGCAATTGCAAGACTTGAATCGAAGTGGCTGGCTGCATCGTGAAGGGGCCACGCTGCCACAGGTAGAGTTGGGGCTGATGAAGCTCGGGATGTGGAGTACGATGCCAACAGACTCCAATGTCAGAGGGAGCTGCGCACGCTTCTATGGTACACGCTCTATGCCTGACATTGCCAGCGCAGTTGGCATTTTGCCTTCCGAGCCAACCTATCGGCTCAAGGGCATCTTACAACTTGGCGTCCCTCAGAGGCACACTTGACTTGCAGCAGACACATGAAATTGCGTACTGGTGTTTCTGAGCTTCCTTGCCATTCTGATGCACTCTTCGCACCGACAGCAGGGCGATCACGATTAGTTATAGCGTTCATGGCGGGCGAAATCATTCTTGACGGGACATCGTGAACTCAGCCTTAACGGCATGGTCAGCCACCGCAGCCGAAACAGTAGCCAGCCTGAGTGTCTTAACGATCTGAGTCCAGCAAGATCCGCTAAAATCGTTGGGCAGTACAAGCTGCGAGAGTGCCAAGAAGGCCAAGAAACAACAAACACCCCCGCTGCAAGAACCGTAGTCTCCCGGAAATAGGCCGCAAGCTGGTCGCTCTGTCTGACATGTTGTTAGTCTTTTGGAACTCCCACATATCCAGCACGCGTGCTTTGTGGTGCGGGGGGGGAGCCCAAGCTCCGAACTCCTTGCAGGCATCCTTGCATGCCTGAGTGTTTGCGCAACGAAGGTTAGCATGACCCCTGCACGAATGAGATACATAAGTGAATTGCGAGCACTGACGTGGCTCAAGATGAGGAGCGCAGCGAAGCGCGCTGATGTTGCGAAAAGCCTTTGGGGTTCCTTCGGGCTTGGAGGGCCTGATGCGCCAACGCCGTCTCCATCTATGCATCACCATACGCTTTGCTATGTCTTCGTACGATCCTTTGGATGATTTGCCTTTGCAATTTCGCCGTTGCCCTCCTCCTTTTCCGAGTGGCAAACAGCCCGTCACTCACTGCTTTATGCCAGAGCGTTCCCGACGCTGTAAAGCGTGCGGGATTGATTTGGCAGCGGACCCACGAGGACAGCAACGACTGACACACAATGACATTTGAGACACGGTACTTCCAGCAATGGCCTGACATAAACTTATCATCATACATACACCTACGCCCGAAATCCCTCACAAATGTATGCTGAAGCATGGTGATTGGGAGATCTCAGAGCTCACGTTTGCGAACGTTAGTGAGACATGAGCATCAGCGCGCCTGGATTGCTTTGATCATGGAGCCCATGCGTCCCACCACGACGCCAATCCTCAGCTTGGCTTAGTCACGCTACTGACCCTGCCGTGCACACACACACACCACCCCTGCTGCTCTTCTCCAACATACTGATGCGTCTTTGCAGCAAGCGCTCCTTTCCCTCACGCTCACTCAATCACTCAACATGAGGTGCAGCCAGCGCGTCTTCTGAGCGGGCACCTTGATCTGGGCACTGTGCATGCCGGGCTTTTCTCCAATCAGCTCCTGCGAGCCACGCTGGTTGTTGCGAGCGTGTCGCGTGGGGCGTGCCGCGTGTCGCGTGTCGCGTGGGGTGTGGGACGCATGTTCCAAGAGTCCTTGATGGCCATTGTTGCCATTGCGACAGCCTGCAGGCATGAAATTTTGATAAACCCACTTTACAAGCCCATGGCATCTTTCCAGACTTGACCTTGACCGTCGAAAGCCGAGAAAGTCGCAAAACGCGCATTTGAAGCCCTTAGTCTGCACCTGCTGCTGTCCGAGGACGGTGAAAGTCTCCCCGGATCGGCTGATGTGGACCTTGTGTTGCTCCTGCAACTCGGAAGATTTGAAACATTGACATGGCTGTAGCGTCTTGAAGATAAACAGGCCCCCTTCTCCAATGCCCCATGAGTGTTCCCGAAGCTGGTAAGAGCGCGGCTTTCCCCTGAAAGCGGACCCACGCTGACACACAATGACATGTGAGACACGGTACTTCCAGCAATCGCCTGACATAGACACATCATACATACACCCACGCCCGAAATCCCTCACAAACGTACGCTGAAGCATGGTGATTGGGAGATCTCAGAGCTCACGTTTGCGAACGTTAGTGAGACATGAGCATCAGCGCGCCTGGATTGCTTTGATCATGGAGCCCATGCGTCCCACCACGACGCCAATCCTCAGCTTGGCTTAGTCACGCTACTGACCCTGCCGGGCACACACACACACACCACCCCTGCTGCTCTTCTCCAACATACTGATGCGTCTTTGCAGCAAGCGCTCCTTTCCCTCACGCTCACTCAATCACTCAACATGAGGTGCAGCCAGCGCGTCTTTTGAGCGGGCACCTTGATCTGGGCACTGTGCATGCCGGGCTTTTCTCCAATCAGCTCCTGCGAGCCACGCTGGTTGTTGCGAGCGTGTCGCGTGGGGCGTGTCGCGTGTCGCATGTCGCGTGGGGTGTGGGACGCATGTTCCAAGAGTCCTTGATGGCCTTTGTTGCCATTGCGACAGCCTGCAGGCATGAAATTTTGATAAACCCACTTTACAAGCCCATGGCATCTTTCCAGACTTGACCTTGACCGTCGAAAGCCGAGAAAATCGCAGAACGCGCGTTTGAAGCCCTTAGTCTGCACCTGCTGCTGTCCGAGGACGGTGAAAGTCTCCCCGGATCGGCTGATGTGGACCTTGTGTTGCTCCTGCAACTCGGAAGATTGGAAACATTGACATGGCTGTAGCGTCTTGAAGATAAACAGGTCCCCTTCTCCAATGCCCCATGAGTGTTCCCGAAGCTGGTAAGAGCGCGGCTTTCCCCTGAAAGCGGACCCACGAGGACAGCAACGACTGACACACAATGACATGTGAGACACGGTACTTCCAGCAATCGCCTGACATCGACACATCATACATACACCCACGCCCGACATCCCTCACGAACGTACGCTGAAGCATGGTGATTGGGAGATCTCAGAGCTCACGTTAGTGAATGTTAGTGAGACATATGCATCAGCGCGCCTGGATTGCTTTGATCATGGAGCCCACGCGTCCCACCACGACGCCAATCCTCAGCTTGGCTTAGTCACGCTACTGACCCTGCCGTGCACACACACACACCACCCCTGCTGCTCTTCTCCAACATACTGATGCGTCTTTGCAGCAAGCGCCTCCTTTCCCTCACGCTCACTCAATCACTCAACATGAGGTGCAGCCAGCGCGTCTTGTGAGCGGGCACCTTGATCTGGGCACTGTGCATGCCGGGCTTTTCTCCAATCAGCTCCTGCGAGCCACGCTGGTTGTTGCGAGCGTGTCGCGTGGGGCGTGTCGCGTGTCGCGTGGGGTGTGGGACGCATGTTCCAAGAGTCCTTGATGGCCATTGTTGCCATTGCGACAGCCTGCAGGCATGAAATTTTGATAAACCCACTTTACAAGCCCATGGCATCTTTCCAGACTTGACCTTGACCGTCGAAAGCCGAGAAAGTCGCAGAACGCGCGTTTGAAGCCCTTAGTCTGCACCTGCTGCTGTCCGAGGACGGTGAAAGTCTCCCCGGATCGGCTGACGTGGACCTTGTGTTGCTCCTGCAACTCGGAAGATTGGAAACATTGACATGGCTGTAGCGTCTTAAAGATAAACAGGTCCCCTTCTCCAATGCCCCATGAGTGTTCCCGAAGCTGGCAACGGCTTTCCCCTGAAAGCGGACCCACGAGGACAGCAACGACTGACACACAATGACATTTGAGACACGGTACTTCCAGCAAATGCCTGACATCGACGCATCATACATACACCCACGCCCGACATCCCTCACGAACGTATGCTGAAGCATGGTGATTGGGAGATCTCAGAGCTCACGTTAGTGAATGTTAGTGAGACATAAGCATCAGCGCGCCTGGATTGCTTTGATCATGGAGCCCATGCGTCCCACCACGACGCCAATCCTCAGCTTGGCTTAGTCGCGCTACTGACCCTGCCGTGCACACACACACACACCACTCCTGCTGCTCTTCTCCAACATACTGATGCGTCTTTGCAGCAAGCGCCTCCTTTCCCTCACGCGCACTCAATCACTCAACATGAGGTGCAGCCAGCGCGTCTTTTGAGCTGGTACCTTGATCTGGGCACTGTGCATGCCGGACTTTTCTGCCTCTGGTTGGCCGCACAGGGAGGCGGCTGCTTCTCCCCCCAATTGTGTTACAAAACCACGTGTGTTCTTTTTCCAGAAGAGATTTAAGGTGTCGGCAAAGCGAAGGGCCTTCTGAAAGGCAACGCGAGCAGACAAGGCCGCAATGTAACGCACCTGAACCAGAAGGGTCGGGTATTTGTGAAGCCCGAGATTCCATCTCTGGTTTTGGTTCCTTCTGATCTCTTGCTTCGGGGCTGTACCGCTGCGCACACTGGCACTTTTTAGCGTGCCAGGTGCTGCGCGGACTAGAGCCCCCTGCCTAGACCTTATCCGTCAGGGACATACCTGCATCAAGCGTCACATCACGCTACACCACGCGCCCAACGCAGCGCTGTCGTTGAGGCTCGGGCTGTCCCCACGGATCATCAGGATGCCCAGCGTTTCGAGCCGGAACGGTTTGCTGAAAACCCACGAAATTCGCCGGTCTTTTGGGCGGTTGCGTCGTTCAACTTGTTCACGCCCCAAATTAATATTAGAATCGTGCGTCTTTTCACTCCTTACATTTTAATATAAAATTTAGGGGCTAAGTGAACAATTGAACCACACAGCCGAAACCAGAATGAAGATATGAATGAACTTAACCTCGAAAACCACGTTCATGTCGTACACTCATTCACTTCCCTCTTTTCTCTCTTCATTTTACTATTATTCATGCGCGAACAATAGTGCGCTTGTAATAATACTAAAAGTGAAGGTGAAAAGACCCTGGAATAAAACCACGAAATTCGCCATCGGTGAGAGGAAAAAGGGAAGGGGGAGGGGGGAAAAAGGTTTTGGGGGGGGGGGGGGGGGCCCAGGGTGCCAGAACGATGTCCCGTTCATCCAAAAACAGGAGATGGCACGATCAAGCCTTGGGCAGCAGACTTTCCAAACCAAGAGCGTGGTCTGCCAAAGTAGGGGCTATGCGGCACACATCAACGTCAGGGCTCTATGAGGGCCATTGGGCCAATGACGCCCGAGCAAGTGTTGCTACGAAGCATGGTGGAGATTCTTACTGCGGCGAATGGCTTCCCAACAGTTCAGGACTCTTGCACAACTAGGCCCGATTTGGCGTATCAACCCCTACTCGGATTCAAAGTAAGGGAGGAGGGCTGCAGGGCATGGTAGACATTCACGTCTGCTGCCTGCTCCCCATGTGCTTCCAGTCTGCCGAGAAGAAAACCCGCCTTAATCATTTTCAAGGAACGCTTTCTGTGCGCCTGTCGGGGAGGTAGGACCCTGACTTGTTCTCCTCGACGAGACCACCGCCAAGGACCTCAGACTTCATATTGTCTGGGGACGACTGCCCGTCTGCATGTGCGCATCTGGCATCTGCGTGTAGACTTTCTGCAAGTCCTGTGCACGCAGCGCATCTGGGGTGGAGTGAAAACAGACGACTACTGAGCTGCAGGCCGTTGGTTGCAGTCTTGCCTCCATGTCCAACGCAAACACGCCAAAGACTCGTCAAAATTGCACTGGTGCATTTCATCTGCGTCAAGCAGTCCGCAAAAAAATCTGGTGTTTTGTCCCCAGGCAGCATCCACACTCTCTCTGTGCGCAGTCAGAACCACTGCTAGCAGTGCAGTGATATGGCTGCAGCATTTTCTCTGGCACTCTTCAAGAGCGTCAGATCAAGGCATCAGACGAAACACAATCGTACCATTCTCATATCCCTTGTCATATCCATCTTGAACCATACGATTGCAAGCATCCCTTGCGGAGACTTTCTGTGTTTCTGTACCTTACACCCCATCGCTGTCAAAACGACAGGCGACCTCCGAATTATGCCATCAATCCGGGACTTGCACTCTGATCATGTGCTAGCTCAGCAACAAGCCCGATCAATGGACTGTGCGCACAAGAGTTGGTAGCACAGATACCGAATTGCTTGTCACGTCCAGAAGCAACGACAAGGAGCAACGACAAGCGCAGCGGAAACAGAAATCGGAGACGTGGGCCAACATGCAAACGTTCCAAGATCTCACACATGTAGGCGCCTGACCCCGACTGTCAGAACTCATGCAGATTTGCGCGACGAAGGTGAAACGGCTTCAAGAGTGGAGACCTCTGCGGTGTGTGGCCTGAGAGCCTGAGAGCCTGAGAGAGGCTGAGGCGAACTCCTGCGCCCCTGGGTGCCTCGATGTCGCCCTCGCTTGCGCTGGCACTTGCAGGTTTGGCGGAGCTCCTTTCGCCACGGCGTGGCTGTGCCGCGCAAAGTGGAGGCAGAGGCCAAGACCACACCTGATTTTGGGGCTCGCTGACTGTCCCAGCGTATTTGCCTTGGACTTTGCAGAAGAGAAGGCGCAAGCGGGCAAGCGGTGAGCTTTTTGGCAACAGCTTCATGTCTCAAGAAGGGTTGACTTCGAGTTGGGCTTTTCGCAGAATGCTCTGAAGCCCGAGAAGCAGGGGCGGCCAACTTGCATCTTGTTCCCGAACAGCTCCTTGGCATCATTCTCAAGAATCAACACCCCAAGTCACTGTTGGCACACACCCCAAGCCGCTTGAGCCGCAAGCTTCGACAGGACTACTGTGCTCTGTTGGGCGGCTGTTGCGTGGAACCTGGCGATGCTCCATGTAGCAAGGGCAGCGCTCTGGAACTGGACGAAGCCATGTGCTGCATTTGGAATTATTGTGACCTGCGCAACTCCCCTTGCTGTCACTTGAAGATCAACCATCGCTGCGCGCCGTCAAGGCTCATGTGCTCTGCATCTGTCAACTACTTTCGTCATCCGAGTTCAAACCGCGCCCAAGGCCTTTGTGATTGGTGGGCCCAGCTCCGGATCATACTCCGGAGCTTGCATTGCCGCAGGCTGAATTAAATTGCGCATCACCTGCCAAAACAACAGGGAAGAAAAATGCAGGCCACCCCGTGCCGGAAGTTTAACTTACCCAAACTGCTCCAACATTAAGCGATCGGCAGATGAAGCGCTGTTGGTTGGGCGGGAACGAGGATGTCTCACTAAACAACATTACTCCTCAAATGTGAACATATTTCAGGGATTTGCACAGCTTTTGCGCACAGCCTCTTCGTTGACCATCCCACGCACCAGGTTGCCGAAGTAGACGTCTCGCTGCGCGGGGCCATCCGCATCTCCAGAAACAAGGGTCGGAGGCAGCGCCTTGCCGCGGAGCAAATTCGCAACTTGATGACTTTGGAGCTATCACTGACATGCTAACAGCAAATTCGCAGGTAATCTGCGTACCAGGCACTCCACCGAATGGTGGCAATGCCACTTTTGACACAGACGGTGTAGTAAGGGGCTGCTAAGGGGCTGAGTCAGCTTTGAGTTGCCATTTACTGCCATCATTTTCCACAGACTTGGAACCCGGACTTGTGACTCAGATCTGAGTGTCAGCCTAGATTTTTTCAAACTTTGGACTGAGGCTTCGGCTTAGGGTATACATCCTCCAAGCAGCCTTTGACACTCTAGCCTGGGTAAGACTTGGGCCAAGCGAGCCAATCAAAACAAAACCTCTCCTAGACGAAGCCCAATCACTCACAGCGAGGGAAACCTGAAGTCTCCGGGATGTTCTTTCTCTGACTTGTAGTCCAGCATGTCCAGGTCAGGCACTTTTGGTCAATCCCAACTTTTGGGATTCTCCAGGGTTCGGGCTTCGGGCAACCCGTGCTCTGGTAGTTCTAGACCCTTGGAAGCCACAATGCTCAGTGATTCATGTGAGTCAGCACCACTGCCTCAGAGCTCAGCGCATCCGCAGCGCCCTCCACACAATTGCACGCCCATCATATCATGGCTATCATGGGTGTCTCGACCGCGCTCAGAACAAGGTGTGGCTGCAAGTCATGGGAGCATAGCGAAATCAAGGGTGTCGATGCAAACGCCTTGCGGCGCCGGCTGCGCTCGCGTCTGAAGTTATCATTGCCGTCACACCTCATAACAACGAGCAAGAAACCCAACATTTTGGCTCCTGTCTACAGCTGCGGGTTGTGCTCGGATCCGCGCTTTTTGCCTCTGCGCGTGATCTTCGGCAGAGTCTTCGGCAACTGGTCTCCTTGGCCCCGGATGTGCGTCCCTCGCGTCAAAAAAAGCCGCGTGAAGCGAAGCCATAATTGCAGAGCCAGGGATCCCATGGCAGCCTCGGTGCTGATGGGAGGTAGATGCTTGAGCCCACGGCAGCCACACGACCACTTCTCACAGCACTTTCAGCCCTGGCCCTGCCCGCAGACAACAGGACCAGCGAATTGTTTGAACCATGTGGCACTCGCAGCGGAGCCTATATAGCAGAGGAAGTGCACATTGAAAAAGGAGCAGCCTCGGCAAGGAGAAAGCCCGCACTCTCTTGATCTGCTGATCTGCTGCAGAACATGCAGATCTCCTTCACAGAGGTTTCACGCACATACTGATGCTCCTCACCATGCCTAGTCCTTTGGCTTGGCCTTGCAAAAACACCAACTGTCAGGCCTCCGCTGCCGCCTGTCAAACTGCCGAGCTTTTCTCCCTGCAGCTAGGCAAATGTCAGCACATCAAGCTGTTGCGCCAGCTTCTCGGCTCATCTCGGCTCACAGCTTACCAAAGCTGAGCTGAGCTGGGGGCCTCATGCAGCCACAGGTCGTTCAAGTAGCTGCCTCGGCGCAGATTGTTCCTCTGATCCACTCACCACATCTTCACACCCTCCCTCCCTCTGGCTTCCACCCTCTGAGGAAGCAGGTGTGCCCGGGCCGCGGCCGTCACCAAAGACATTGAGGCCTTCCGCCACGGGGCTCCAGGGCACGCCAAGTCGGTATCGCGGGGGACTTGTTGCCACCCGCCGACCTAGCAAACAGGCCATAACACAGTTCAGCAGCCAAACAGCACTGGATCAAGCAAAAGTCAACTCAACAGCCACGCCATGGGCATCTTTCCTTCCTGGCTTCTACCATCTGACATGCTCAGATGTGCAGGGCCCCGGCCGCAATAGCCACCGAAGACGTAGCGGCCACCGCCATGGGGCTCCAGGCCACGGCGTGTTCAACACGCCTACTGGGCAGGGCACCGGACGCCGTGACTTGCTGGCACCCGCTGGCCTGCCGGACAGGCCGTGGCACAAATCTGACAGCTCAGCTGCCAAAACAACACCGATATCAACCAAAAGCCGACTCAAAAGCCGCACTGCGCCATGCTAAAGCTGCCCAGCCCCACTCTGCGGTCAAGGAATGTTGCTCGGCACGCTTTGATAGCAGCCCCACAAACCACGCGGGCCTCACGCAGCCACAGGTCGTTCAAGTAGCTGCCTCGGCGCAGATTGTTCCTCTGATCCACTCACCACATCTTCACACCCTCCCTCCCTCTGGCTTCCACCCTCTGAGGAACCAGATGAGGAATATCAAGAGATTGCTGCTTTTGATTCTGCAGATACCGAAGTGTTGAGCTGATTGCATCCTATAACGCGTGGAAAGGAGGGAGACTTGTTCATCCATGAGAAACGCACAGACAAGTTGCAACCGAACATCATTCAACCAATGAAGCAATTTACGCACATTCAGGGACCACTGCAGTCGACAATACAGGAGAAAAGTAGAGAACCAGGAGAGGAGATATGTTGTATTTGAATGTATTTGAGTGACCCCAACTTTGATTTGGGAGAAGCTGTTCTCGTAGACACTCCGGCCGCCATACAAAGACATAGCCACGGGGCTCCAGGCCAGAGTTGTAGTCCCGCGCGCTGGGCAGGGAACCGGATGGGGTGACTTCCTGCCACCAGCATGCAGTATGCAGAATGTTCCTGTCATAGCCCGAGCATCTGCATGTTTGTTTCATGCTTTGAATCTTACTCTAGCTCCCGTTACTGCTACGGTTACGACTTACTACTGCTACTACACAGTTACTACGGTTACAAATTACTACTGTGACAAATTATGGCTGTTGCTATTATTGTTACTGCTACACTTGTTACTACTGCTGCTACTGTTGCTAATGTTGCTACTGTTAGGGGCAGCGCGAAGGCTCCATTCCTATTGACTGCTTGTCATGCTTGTGTACGTTTGCTTTCCATTATGTCTAAGCTATATTGTTGCACCCATAGCAAAGGGCTGGGGTGAGGCTTGTCCCTGAATCTATGGGCTGGTCTCTGTTTTGTATTCTCTTGGGTTTACGGCCCCATGATTTAAGGTCCCCACGCGGGTCTTCCCTCTGCAACCTGCGTGTGATTGCTATTATTGCTTCTATGTCTATTGCGCTTATTGGGACTGTTAGTACTATTGCTACTGCATGCTTATGATTATCATCATTATCATTTTTACTACTAAGGTTAACACTGTCTGTTGTCATTATGACGGCGGTGGTTCGCTTAAGTCGCACTCTTTGTATGATTAGCATTGAATTGATGGTTCTTATTACTATCCTTGTTATCGTCGTTCATGTTTCCATTACTATTGCTGCTAATTTTGGCATGATTATCGTTACTGCTGTTACTCAGGTTACTACTGCGGGCAAACCTTTTCCATCATGCTGGTGCATGGCGACGAGTAGCTACACCCTACACCCTAAAGCCTAAAATCACATGGATTAAGGACCTGAGGTTCTTGCACTTCAAGCCCGATCTGCGTCCATCGGACGCGTATCAATCACTGGCGTACTTTGAACATGCATCAAAGAGTACTTTATGGTGTACAAACAAACATTCAGAGCACGCACAATAGCACTGACCTTCACACTTCTTGCTGTCCCGGGGATGTGTCCGACAACCAAGGCTGTTGGGCACCAGAGCTTCTTTCAGCTCATTCCGGTGCAGAAAGAAAGCCTCCCGGAAGGATGGCTGATCGGCATTCCCTCCATGGCCGCCTCCTTTCTGTATGTCGGAGCTTTGCATCTTTTCGTAGATCTCTCTTACGTCTGAAAGCCACTTCCTCGTTCTCTCTGACTTTTTGACCATAAAAAGCGTCCCTGTATTGCGCTCTGCCATTTTCTTGTACTCGGAAAGGATTGGGCCTTGGATGCTGGGGGAGATGGCAAGTGCACATGACTTACCAGCGTAGCCACCACAAGCACTGAATGGCGCTTCTGTCCATGTCACGTCCACTGATAAGTTGGCTGCATAATGGTATATTCCTGCAAACCACCCGGGACATGGCCAAGAGTCGACATCGAGGAAGAGGACGTGGGTATCAGAAGCAATCCCGGTATTTTGAATGACGTATGCCTTTGCAGCATGTGGCTGCATGCCTGCGGGCAGACGCTGAAACTTCACCACATCTGACACATTGGATGGCATCACGGTGTCGTTCGCCACCCACGCGGTAGCTGTTTGCAACTGTTGCGGGCAAACTTCCTTGAAACGTTGTAAAGTATGTAACATCATGTCAGGCAGCTCCGGGTATGCACTTAGCCAGCACAGAGCAATTCGTGCCGTTGGGTTGGGGCCACAAGCGGCAGTTGAAAGTTGATCATAACCACGGTCATAAACCAAATTTGATACTCGCAATTCACGCCCATCGGTTGCAGTACCGCGGCTCGTGGCGTGTTGAAGCAGGTTTGCTCGGGTTTGCGCCGCACTCTGATCTGCAGGATAACACGTCTCATGCGACGTGCAACTGTACGAAGATGCTGTCACATCGTTTGCCAGCAGCAAAATCCAGCGCAACATCACGGAAACGCCACGCATTGCAACAAATCTGGCTAGCAAAAACCCTGTGCTGCTTGAGCTGACCTGCCATAACACGGAAATATGTTGTATTTGAGTGACCCCAACTTTGATTTGGGAGAAACTGTTCTCGTAGACACTCCGGCATAGCCACGGGGCTCCAGGCCAGAGTTGTAGTCCCGCGCGCTGGGCAGGGAACCGGATGGGGTGACTTCCTGCCACCAGTTGGCCAGACGTGTCTTTGGCGTGAGTGTGACTGCCCCTCGCTCCGTCATGTCTGCCAATTTTGGCGTCACGCACCACTTGTCTTGCACATGTGCCTGGGCCAAGCAAGCCGACGCCAGGAGCACGAGCGCTCCGCGCCTCAGCACAAAGGCAGCCTGACTGTACAGCTACAGTTGTACCTACTTAGACCTACTTAGACCTACTTATACCTACTTATACCTACTTATACCTACTTATACCTACTTAGACCTACTTATACCTATTAGACCTACTTATACCTACTTGGGCAGTTGGGCGTGCCTTTGAGACAGCCGCCATCTAGCGAAAGCTGCTGTGGAGATCCCTAGCCCGTTTTACTCCTACCAAGGCCTTACCATCAGCTTGCTCCCCGCAGCCTTTCCAGGAACTCTTCACGGGTTTCGACAAGAGTCGGAGGTGATCCAAAGCAGCAGTGGATTAGCATCGTGGTGTTCAATCCCAGGTCCTACAGACTGATAAAGATAAATGCCAAATCATGCCCTGCAACAGCCACCAGCACCAACAAAACCTTGTGCTAGCTGCTAACGGTTCTTCCAGTGTCCTAACAGCAACGGCAAGATGACAGGCAGCTATCACACATGGTTGCTTCCACCATCGGGCATCTGAGGCTTGTTGAGGCCGGAGCAGAACCGCGAAGCTCGCAAGGCGCATCATCAAGTTGGATATACACAGGTCTCACCAGAGAAACAACCAACGGAGGAAGCCAACACAGTCACAAACAACACAACAAGCAGTTAGAATTCATCTGCTGTTTCACCCTTTTCGAGATTAGTTTTAAAGTGTGGTAAGTCTCAAAGTTCAAGTATACAAAACCATTCCAACCTAAAAGTCCATATTCACGTGAGAACTACCAAGAAGGCACAACTCCCCTCTACCTCCTTCTTGATTGATGCACAAAAGCAGCGGACCCGTGCGCCCAGTCCTCTGTCACGACACCGGCAACGAGTGATGTGCAGCACGCATGCAATCAAACGTCTAAAAACAACAGCTGCGCAGAGCAAGAATCCAGGGGGGGCACGACATGCTTCTTTGCCGGTTGAAGTGCTGGCAAATGCTGCCCAACACTACCACATTCTGCCCATGCTCCGATGTCTGTCGTGCAGCAAACGCAAACCGTCCCGAGCCATACCACGCTTTGCAAGGCCTTCGGGACTCAAAATACCAAAAAAACACATAGGTTCTTTTGGGTTTAGAGAGCATGACATAAGCGAAGCGGCTGCCTTCTAACATGTTCTTCAAGCTTCAGGGTTTCTTGTTTTCATCCCCCCCTTTCTGGGGAATCGGGCCACGCAGACTTCGGGGCTCAGGGCTTTCTCGTCAGGACACGCCAACCGTCTGGGGGTGGGGGGCCAGAGTGAGGTCCCATATAAAGTCAAGGCCTTCGCAAAAATTTGGTATTTTGTAATTTAGGTGTTGGCTTGATACCTTCGTCGAAGGCTCCTCTTCAAGACCCTGGTAAACCGTCTCAGCTCGGTGGACTCTAATACCGGACACAGCGCTTGAGGGCCTCCGCATGCCTGCCCAAAGGTGCTCCGAGGGACGGCCGCACCAAACGCCGCCAAGCAAGCGTACCAAACATACCCCAAGCATGCCTGTACAGAGGGGGCCTCTGGCCTGATGTCCCACGAGTACCACATGAATCACGATGAACTACGACGTAACTACGAGTACCCCAAAGAGCCTGTTTTGTGCCGCCGCGTCCGCTGGTTCTGCCTTGTGCCCCTTCTTGCCTCTGAGCACTTCGGGTGAGTGTCTAGAAGCTCGGCGGGACTTAAGAGCAGCCCTGCTTTTTTGCGGTCTCAGAGTGAATTCGCGCAGGACAAAATGAGGGACAACATTGGGAAGCAAAGGCCTCACCTTTGGACGCTCAACGCGAGAGCCCAACCTGTGCCAGGGGCACCTTTATCGTTGGGCCGGGCCCTCGGGAAAGCAGCCTCGAGACTAGGTTGCAAGCCGTTCGACGAGTGCAGAGGAGCCGGGAAACTTGAATAGCTTCCGTGTGCGCATGGTGTGCGCGTTCACTGCCGTCTTTTGATGGAGAGCATACACGTCCACTCCACCCAAAAGGGTTCTCTTCAATGTTTCCCGTGGTGTCTTTGGCTGTAGAAGCTCCTCTTCAAGAGCACTCGGCTGCGATGGTCTAGGCAAGAAAAACCAAAATCACCAGCGCCCGCAAAACCCGACCCAGTAAGCAGGAAAGTTTGTTTCAAAGACATATATACCTTTCACATCCCGTGCTAGGCTCAGGCGACATGTGTTAGTTGCTGGGTCGGGAAGGCAGACGCTTCACTGGCCGGCTCGGCCTAAAACTGCGAATTGATACGAATACGAAAACGATGGCGTCCGTCAGGGGCCATCCTATGCCTCATGCCTCAAATCAATCTCGGAAGACCGCTTGCTTCGGGAGGAGGTGCGTGGAGTTGAAGTTCACGAGGTTCGGGAAGACCTGGAGGCGCTGCGAGGGCTCCATGCCCATCCACTCGGCCAGGGGCACCATCATGTTCCTGCAAAGATGGGCTGAGGGTTCAGAGGGTTCAGGGTTCAGGGGGTTTTACGGTTTCAGGGTTGAGGGGCGGGTGCGTCTGCGCGCTGGCAGAAGTTTCTGTGTGTGTTTGCTATAAGGTGTGGCGCTCGACTCCTACTTTCTTGAAGTGCGGCTCGACCCATATATTCCGGCCAATAGGCATTTTCAGATTTCCGACGATTCTCCGCGATTGCCCAAGATTTCCGATGGTGCTATGGCTGCACAAGTGGTAGGGCGCACGTTTTGGCGTGCTGCTTTTTGGCTTACCTTGAAGCCTTTGAGGGTGCTTACAATGTCTATATGGGTGCTCGGCTGAAGGACTCACTGGGAATCTGCTTTCTAGGATGTTCAACAACTTTCTTCACTGTTGGAAGGCCTGAAGGACGTCGCCCGTGTTTTCTTGGAGTTCTTCAGACTCTTAGCATCCTAGTTGAATCTATTAAGATGTTCTACAAGTAAGATTCTCGACTTTGTCCACCGAATGTTGAGATGATCTACAGCTCCCAGGTCGGATGCTCGATGGTTGCCAGGGCTTTCTCGGATTGTTCAGGCTTGTCTGCGCTTTGCTCTCCGTTGGACCTTCACCGGGTGTCCCGAAAATGCGCCCTTATCTTTTCCGATGTTCTGTGATTTCCTGGGACTTCTTGCAGAACACTTTCTTGCAGTTGCCCCTTCAACCCTGCCCATGGGACCCATGGGACCCATGGGACCATGCGAGCTAGAAGCCACACCGCACCTTTCCAAAAAATGGAGAAGATGCCAGTCTTCCCTAAACCCTAAACCATAAACCCCAAACCCTGTACCCTCAATCCTAAATCCTAAACCCTAAAAACCCTAAACACCCAAAAAACCCTAAAAACCCTAAAAACATAACCCTAAACCTTCTCTTCTCCAAGGTGCTCCAGAGGGAAGCTGGGGATGAGCCGCCCCCTCCCCGCGTCCATGGGGGAGTCCTCGGCCTTCCAAGGGGGGAGGCAAAGTGGATGAAAAAAGACGCAGACGCTTCAGCAGATATAGGGTTCAGGGTTTAGGGTTGAGGGTTGAGGGTTGAGGGTTTTTAGGGTTTAGGGTTTAGAGGGTTGAGGGTTGAGGGTTACGGGCGGTAGGAGTTTTCAGAGGGTGCCCACCGAGGATGGGAAAAACACGCAGGGCAACACGGGCTTCGCTGGGAAGAGATGGTGTTTCTTGATAAAGGGGGTGCGCCCTCCCCCCAAGAATTTGGCCCAAGGCGCCAGGTGGGGGAAGGCGTTGTGGACCTTCGAGCCCGTGAGCGCCCCGGACGCGAAGAGCTGGATCCCGGACCAGCCGTGGTCCGTGCCGGCGTTGCTGTTCGGGGTCAGGGTCCGGGCGAAGTCGGAGTGCGTCACGATCACCACGTTGTCGAAGATGTTTTGGGCCTTGAGCTCGGCCACAAACTCCGCCAAGGCTTCATTCAGGCTCTCGAACTTCCCGGCCAGACCCGACTCCACACCCTTGTGGTGGTCCCAGCCCCCGTCCTCCACGAAGAAGAAGTCGCGCTCCGCCTGGCGCTCGACCCGCGCGGCGATCAGCGTCGCCGCCTTCTTGAGCTGCTGCCTGGTGGGGAAAAAGTGGAGGCATGCCGAAGGAATGCCCACACGCGTCTCCCTTTAAACAAAAGCACCGCTTCGCGCGCGGAACCATCATGGCCAATTTCGCTTCGCACAACCGAACCACCATGGCTCTTATAAATGCACTAAGACGCCTCTAAGACACACACACACACACAGAGACAAACGCCATGAGGCCGGGCGAATTTAGAGCGCGCAAGTGAAGGCACAGCAACAAAAGGCGCGTTGCTGCTTTATCAGCACCCTCATGCACCCTCTCCTCAGGGGCTTGTAGCCCGAGATCTCGTAGGGCGTCGAGAGCTCGGCGTTCTCGAGCTGCTTGGCCAAGCCCAGGTTGAAGCTGATCGCCTGCTCCAGGCGCCTCGCGTACTCCTCGCAGTAGACGTTGCCGTGGAGGGTGCCTTTTTTTGCCGTCAAGAGAGTGCCCCCCCCCCCCCCCTATGGGGTTCATAGGATTGCTTTGCGAAGTTTGTAGATGTTGGTGGAGTCTGGTAGAGTTCAGGGTTTGTAGGGTTTTAGAGTTTAGACAGATGCCAGCGAGATGCCGGTGATGTTGTCCACGATGTCTTGCAGCCGCGAATATTCTGGGAAGGCGGAACTACTACCACCTGAATTCTGGCCCAGAACCTCCCCGGGGATGTCGAAACCCTGAGGCCACGTCGCGCTGCCCTTCAAGGAAAAGGACATGGTGTTGTACTTCTCGGTTCCGGCTGCCACGGCATCTGCGATGCGTCCGCCAGCACCCTTCAGCTCCGCCGTCCCATACCTAGTTCATTGTTGGGATAATATTAAAGATTTAGTTCTTTCCTTATTGGGTTTAAATACTATTAAAAATGTAAAATGTTACTCAACTATGACAAAGATACTGGCAGGTGAGCGTCTCGGCCGCCCGCTGCTGGTCGTTGTGGCTGAAGAGCCCTTGGCAGATCTCCCCGCTGCCGCCCTTGGCGTGGAAGCCCGAGCCGATCATGTCCGGCGTCAGCGGCTCCACCAAAGACCCCACGTCCGCCACGAAGGCCAGGCTCCTCTCTGCAAACGTTCTACTTCTGCTGTCTTTACCAAGTCTTCTCCGAAAATAGAGAAGAAAAAAACCCAGGACCCGCGCAGCGGCTCCAAAGCCCCCCTCTATTGAGTTTAAAAAACAAAAGCTGCCCCTCTTTCTCTGCGCGCCGGGGCTCCCCTCGTCGTAGAGCTCCTTGAAGACCGGGAGCTTCGGGTGGATGCCGAAGTCCTGGCAGGCCTGGTCCTGGGAGCTGATCTGGTGCAGCTCCTCCGGGAGGAAGGCGATGCTCTTGCGCACTCCCCGGTACTCGTCGTAGAGGGGGCAGTTCCTGCCAAACTCCCCCCTTATAGAACCTTCACAAACATACAGTATTTGCATAATATCCTCTTGGGCTTTTATATAAACAAAAATAGAAAAATAGTTCCCAAAAAGGATACAGGTTCAGGGGTACCAGCATATTGAAGCTGTCCATGCCGCCCTTGAGCATCACCATGACCACGGCCTTGTAGCTGGATGCGCTGCCCATGCTCGGAGGCGGGGAGGGCGGGCGAACGCCCGAGGGCTGAGGGCTGCCCAGGGTGTTGAACTCGGGCGTCAGGATCATCACCTTCTGCGCGTCCTTCGCCCCAACATGGGAGGAAGAAATGGTGGGAATGGTGGGAGGTGTGGGGAGCTCGGGGAGTTGGGGAGTGGAGTTGGGGAGTGGAGTTGGGAGTGTGGAGACCTGATGACAGTGTGAGGAGTTGGGAGGGCGTGGAGTTGGGGTTCGAAGGAGCTTAAGCCCAAAACCCTAAACCTAGAGGGTGCCACATGGTGCCACCATTGGCCATGTTGAGTGTCCCTTGTCCTTCCAGCCGTCCCGCTGGTAGGCAGCCTGCACGGCGCCTTTGTTGGCCTCTCGGAACGGATTTTTGGTCTTTGTTCCTTGCTTGCATTTCACTCGTCGCATCAATAAAAGTTGTTCATGCGAAGGCGAAAGTATGCGAAATTGCGAGTAGGATCCAACTTCATATGGTGTGGCAACAGCGCTTGTTCTTGTTGAAGAGAGATATGAAACAAACGATGCTAACAGAAACTTACTGAACTTGTACTCGAAGGTTATTGGCCGAGGACGCATTGCAAAAGTAAAACTGAAGCCCGACAAACCAATCGTAATGGAATTACCTGACGTAAATCCTCCAATTGGAAGATTCCCTCTTCGTCGTAATGAAATGGGTACTGTCACACTGAAGGTTTGGGGTTTAGGGTGGTTTCTGAGAGGTCCTTGGCAGATATGCCCTGGTTCGGGAACATGTCGGGACTCTGTTGAGAAAACACGCCAAAGGGAGAGCGCTCGGGAACCCCAGAAAGCAAACATCCCTCTCGAATCCTCAATCTCCTGCTTCGGCCTCCAGGCGGCCCCCAGTCAGCAGCAGGTCCATTTCTGCGAGGGCCTCGCTCATGTCCGGCTTCTCGGCGAAGTTGAGGGTTCCTGCCGAGCAATCGCCCACCTCCACGCCGAAGCCGCTGTCGCAGTAGCTGAGGCCCTGGTTGATCAGCGAGTGCATGCCGTTGGCAAAGGCCAAGGCCGTTGGGGCTGTGTAGATCTGGAACTCCGGCGCCACCAGGCCTTCCGGAAAGCTGTCTGGGCGGAACTCCGGCTCGTAGAAGTTGAAGACCGTGGGTGAGGCGTAGGGGTACTGGCCGATGGAGTCCACCAGGTTCCGGAGCACCACCGGCCGAGCCCCTTCATCTTGATACTCCATGGACCGCATCAAGTGGACCACCTTCAAGTAAGGCTCTCGCAGCAGGCCATTGCTGGTGCCCATCTGAGAGCGCGCCTCGCCGTGGAGAAGCACGGCCGCCACGGTGGCTGCCAGGTCCCCATACTTGCCCGAGAAGGTGTGGCCCATGTACTTGCCCGTCTGGAAAGCGTTGGAGACCGCGAGCACGTACTCGGGGCTGGGGTTGGAGGTGACGAAGCGCTGGATGATGCGGAAGGAGATGAAGGCGGGTGTGTTCGGGTAGTGCAGCAGGTGGTCCAGGAGCGCGTCCACCTCGAAGGCCGCATCGCGCTTCCGTGGCTCGCTTCTGTCCATGAACACGGGGGGGTTCTGCAAAAGAAGCCCGCCAACAGAGACGACGTGCTGGCCATTCTGGACAGAGAGGCTTGCGGGGCAAGCGCACACGGAACCTGCAGTGCAGCCTGCGGGGCATGTGGTAAGGTCTGGGAGCGTGGGAATCCAGCGTGCCACAAAAGGGTTCTGCCTCGACTTGGTCGTCAGGTTTGAGGCGATGGTGCCGTCGGGATACAGGAGCACCTCCTCGCCCTCCGCAAAGAAGAGCTTCACGCAGGCCTCATAGAGGTGCTCGTAGAACCCGTCTCCCACCTTCACAAAGTGCGCCGTCTGCGCCTGGCACTCGGTTCCTGTGCAGGGCAGTGTCTCCATGAGCTCGACGATGAGCTTGTGATTGCAGACTTGGCCACCGCAAAGTGCCTTGTAGAGCGCGGAGTCCGCGGCCAAGGTGAGGGCCTCGCCCTCGAAGGCGTGGCCCACGAAGTGGTACTTCGCACCCTGCTGCAGGAAGCCCTGCGCAGGCTGCTCGGAGCACAGCGGGTAGCCATCCCCAAGATAACCTCCCAGAAGGTCCGGCTTGGGGTACACGTCACGCCACTCTGCGCGCAGGAGCATGGGGTCGATCACGTTGACCTTGCCTTCCACATGCTCCACGTTGCCCCGGGCCCCCTGCTCGTCAAAGCCGGTGAAGACCCGGGCAAAGTTCATGATGTCCTCGTTGCTGTAGGTCGGGATGGAGTTGCCTTCGCTGTCCAACATCCTGGAGCCATCGGGGTTCAAGCGCCACAGCCCGATGGTGAAGAGCTGCATGATCTCGCGCGCGTAGTTCTCGTCGGGGTAGGCTCCGTCGCTGTCGAAGGCCCGATTCCGCTTGTAGGTCAGGTAGTCCCCCATGACCGGGCTGAACGTGACCTCTCGGAGGATGTCCCCAAGGTTCCCGAAGGCGTGGCGCACGAAGATGTCGTAGTAGTTCACGTACATCTCCGTGTGCTGCGCCGTGGCGTCGTCCGGCGCCACCACGAAGATCTGGCTCAGCGCCCAGGCCACGCGCTGCCGGAGCTGGTCGGGGGCCTGGAAAACTTTGAGGGAGCCCTCTAGCAAACCGTTCTGAAGCATGACTTCAGATGGGACTCGACACGACTGTGTCGTGCTTTTTTTGAGGGTTGGCTACATGTGGCTTTACGAATTGCGTTGCTTCTGCCTTTTTTGGGGCTTGTGACCCTTCTTCTCCCCCTGGGCCTTGAGGCTGATCATCGTCCAGATCGAGGCGCGGCCCAGCTCCCCCATGGCCTCCGGGGTGTCGTAGGCCACGTCGAAGGCCTCTCCGTAGCAGGAGTTCGAAGAGCTTGGGATGGGGCCGCTTTGCTGTGTTTCGCTGGAGTTAGGTGTGAAGCAGAAGGGAAGAGGGGAGAAAAAAAAGGAAGGGAAAAAGGGGAGGGGGGGAAGGGGAATGAAGGGGCGGCCCCTTCTCCCGGCCGTGTCCAAGAGCTCCCCCTCGGTGTGGAAGGCGTAGCGGTGGCCGGAGCTCAGGTCGTTCGCCACCTCCCCGGGAGAGCCGCAGACCTCCGCGAAGCCGTTGAAGGACTCCAGGGCGCCGAAGGCCGTGGCAAGGGGAAAGGTCTGGAGGCTCTGGGGCAGCGTCAGGAAGCTCACGGTGTCCCCAAGGCGCCCCACGAAGCCGGGGTTGATGGCTGTCCTGGCAAAGTCGGACTCCCAGCGGGTCGTGGGATGGCTGGCGGGATAGTTGAGGATGTAGCCCCTCTCCGTCCACTGCCGGATCTTGTCGGGACCGCCCGGATGCTTGGAGACCCAGTCGCTGAAGTCATAGACGTTGGACTCCTGCGCGTGCACGTGCTGGAAGAACTCGCCGTTGACCTCCGTGGGGGGGGAGCAGGATGGTATAGGGTTTGGCCACGGAGAGGGAAGGGATTGTTCAAGCGGCAGAAGGCTTCCTCGCCGGAAGGCCCTGAGCCAGTAGACAAACCTCAACGGTAGATCCTGCTTCTAACCTTATGTTAGGATACCTAAAACCTTAATTGTCGAGCACTTATAACCTGACTTAGGATACTGATAACTAACCCTGCAAGCACTGATAATAGATCCTACTTGAAACCTTGGTTAGGATACTTGTAACCTTAACTACAGGTACAAGTACTGACAACTACCTTATATGAACCTTCAAACCGTAGACCCACCGCCTCGAGGACCACATCTGCCGGCACGTTGGCGCAGCCCACGTTGACGTCCCGGAGCGAACCTCTCCAAAAAGGGTTTAGGGTTTAGGGTTTAGGGTTAGGCATGTCAAAAGAGGGCTTAAAGGCCAGCGTGTCCTACCGCGCCCCGCCCTCAATGTCCCTCACTCCGCCTTCACGCAAAAAAGCCGGGGTGGGGGGGGCAGGGGGATGCGGGGAACGAGCTGTTTGGTTTTGTATTAGGCCTGTGGCCTAGCTTTGGGAACAAGATTTTTGAAGCATGCCTGGCCTTCCTCCTCGGCCAGAGCCGTGCGCAGCGGAGCCGCAGCGCTCGGATCGCTCAGCACAGTGGCCGTGCAGGCGGAGGCGCTGCAGTCGAGGCGCTTGAAGCGGGACATCTCTCCGCACGGCGGGCCTGTGGTAAGGAGCTGCGTGATGGCATAGACGTAGCGGCCGGCGCTCAAGAAGAACTTCTCCAAGGTGCTCACATTGAGGTGCAGCTGGACTCCCCGCATCTCCATGGGCGCGCAGCCCGGAAGGAGCTGGCAGCTGTCCTGGTTCACAAAGCTCCGTGGCACGGAAGGGCACTGGCCACTGAGCCACGTGTCGGACGTGGCCGGCGTCTCCAAGGTGTTCTCCACCAGGGCAACGCGCGCCTCGTGCACGTAGAAAACACCAGCACTCTCCAGATCTGACTGGATGACGTCCGGCAACTGGCAAGTGGCCGCGTCTGCCACGTCCTTCAGGACCAAGGTGCCTGGGCTCAAGACCTCGAAGGTCACACCTGTGTAGAGAGCCACAGAAGCAGCGGCCCACGGGAGGGGCGGTTGCCTTGACTGTGCGTTCGTGCAATCAGACTCCTGGCTCACCTGAATGTTGGCAGTGCTGACGGCGCAGATGTAGCCCTGGTAGGTCATCGAAGCCCACGTTGACGAGCTGCTGAGCTCTGTGCGCAGACGGCCCGCGACCAACAGCCGCCCGCCCTGCACCGAGATGTTCTTTCCCACGTCAGCGGGGGACAGGGCTGTGCTGCGCCACCTGGAGCCAACAGAGCACTTCGCACGAGAGCTTTCTTGGCTTGAGGTTTGCGGTGCTGCGCGCTGGCGGTAGTAGGTGCGGTGAAGGCTTGCTGGCAATGCCATCTGGTCAAGAATCCATTGGTCGTAGGCGGTGCCATCGATCTCAGACATGCTGCTGCGGGTAGGTCCGAACGTGGCCTGCATCAGGAAGTGGGCATCTGCGCGCTCATCTGCAGGGGCCGGGGCATAGGGCGTCGTCGTGGTCGTGGTCTTGCACTGGGAGTAGTAGGGACCACCATACACACACCACCATCCGGGCTCGCAGCACGTCGCTCCATTGTAGTTCATCCCGCCGCACTTACCGTAGCGCTTGATGCACTCCACGGTGGTGGTCGTCACGGTGGTACCAGGTGTAGTGGACGCTGCATTCGTGGTGGTTGCAGCGGTTGTTGTTGCAGGAGCTGTGGTGGCCGTGGCCGTCACGGTGGTGGTGGTGGTCGTGGTGGTGGTGGTGGTCACAGGACTGGTTGTGCCGGCGGTGCTTGTGGTCACCGGCCCGGTTGTGGAGCTGGGCTGCGTTGTTGGCTGGGTGGTGCTGGGCGCCTCGGTGGTCGTCACGTTCGGCAAGCACTGTGAGTAGAACTCATTGGAGGCCTTGCAAACGAAGCCCGGCTCACAGCAGGTGCTGCCCTCATGATTGTTCCCACCGCACTGCGCGTAGCCCTTCAGGGTTCGTTGTCAGAAGAATTCACGGCACAAGAGCCCCTCTGAGCACGAAAACGCATGAAAACTTGGGGAGGGGGGTGGAAGGGGGGGGTCGGGAGCCTCAAAACCTTTGTTTGCAATCTCTCTTCTGCCATCCCCCCCCCCCAAAAGGGCCTTCTGGCAAGCTGCCGAGGAGGTGCTGGGAGCACTCGTAGAGCCAGGGGTGGTGCTGGTGCTGGAAGCCGAGCTCTGGGTGGTCGTGCTTTGCGTGGTCCCCGTGGTCCCAGAGGTGGAGGTGGTCCCAACCGTCGTGCTGGGGGCCACCGTGCTGCCCTCAACAGGCCTGCAGTCCCAGTAGTAGTCGTTGTCGTACTTGCAGAAGAGACCTTCCTCACAGCACCTGGAGCCCTGCCAACTCAAACCCCCACACTGGTTGAACTTGCCTCGTAGTTCAGTTCCTGGAGCCGAGCAGTCCACCGGCAGGGTTGTGGTGGGCGCCGTGCTCTGCTTGCATTGAGAATAGAAATCGTTGACGAACACGCACTCCCAGCCGTAGACGCAACAGGTCTCTCCGTTGTAGTTCTTGCCGCCACACTGGTCATATGCCTTGCCTTGGCTAAGCGGCTATAGCTTTTTAGTTCTGACACCCTCTATGTCTGCTGACCATTGTTGACCTCTACTTCTTCTAAGATCTTCTAAGGTTTTGACAGGTTACGGCAGTTCCTGGCCTCGGTCGTGGTCGCTGTCGTCGCAGTTGTCCCTGCGGTTGCTTGTGTGGTCGTGGTGGTAGTCGTGGCGGCCGTAGTGGTCGTAGTGGTCGTAGTGGTCGTAGTGGTCGTAGTGACCGTTGTGACCGTAGTGACCGTAGTGACGGTGGTGGCCGTGGTGACTGTGGTGGCCGTAGTGGCAGTAGTGGAAGGAGGCGCGGGAAGGCTCTTCGAGTACCTCAAGCAAGTGAAGCCCTCCAGGACCCTGACGGCCTGGATACCTCCCTCCAGAATCCAGACCTCGCAGCGGGAGCCGCTGTACTCGATGCCTTTGCAGCTTGGGTCCTCCCGGCAGATCTGCTTGCAGCTCTCAAGGTTGTGAGACCCTTCGGCCACGTAGTAGTGAGCAGGGTTGTTGTCCGACTCATGTTGGCCTCGGCAGGCCGCATCCAGCCCAGAGGGCTCAGCCACCACGAACTCCAGCTGAAGGCAAAGAGAGCCCGGAGCAACACTTGTGGCCTCGATAGCTCGAGTCCAGACTTTGCAGTCTCCACCGTTTGACACATAGCCAACGCCCTGGCAGCGCGGCTCCATATAGCAGAGCCCCTTGCAAGCATCCAGAGTCACTCCCTGCTCGTGCATGTAGTAGCTTGGCGAGTCATCAGCAGCATCCGCGCCACGGCAGGCGTGGCCCAGACCCAGGCTATCGAAGCGCGAGGGCCCATAGCTGAGGCAGGTGTAGTTCTCCAGGGAGATGCTGGCCTCAATGCCTTCCGCCCTTGACCAAAGCTCGCAGCGGCCGAGGCTGTACTCGATGCCACGGCAGGTCACGTTCTGCTCGCTCTGCTCGCAGGCGTGCTTGCATGCCTCCAAATCAGTCAGCCCGTGGATCACCGTGTAGTGCGAAGCCGCGTTGTCGCCGGCCGAGGCTCCCCGGCAGGCGCGCCCCACGCCGCCATCCACGGGGAACCAGTCGAAGGGAAGGGCCTCCGCGGTCTCCGCGGTCTGTGCAAGCACGTGGTGCCGAGCCGGGACCTTCTGCAGCAGCCCCAATCCGCCAGTGCACGTCCCGTTTTGGCAGGGCGTGGCCGTCGCAGTCAGGGCAAAGGCACAAATCAAGGGCAGGCGCATACCGTCCAAGGTTCTAACGGAGTGCATCCCGAATTGTCAGCTGAAGCCGGGCTGAGCCCAACGGCGAGTCACGCAAGGACTTGTGACTTCCAACCTAGTCTTGGGGCATGGCAAACGATGACACCTGCCAGCGCCAAACATATCAAGAGGCTGGACACATGTCTACCCAAAGCAAACAACAAAAAGCTCATATGGAGCTAGAGATCCCTTGCTGAGTTTGCTTTTCAGCAGAGGCTGATTGGTGGCTTGGATCCATCTGTGAAAAATAGGGGAATCCCTCTCTTGTGCACAAGAATTTCAACACGCTCTCATTTTTCCTGGCCAACGCACAAGGGGGCGCAGCTTGAACCGCAGCAAGGCCGCTCGGCGGCGCCTGAGCAGCGCCGTGTTGCCTGCGTTTTTGCAGCGGACCGCAAGTCCTGTACCTCGTATACTGCCTACAACCTTCAATGCTGACACTCGCGCGCTCTCCTGCACGCAAAGGCAGCTTTATTTGGGCCCTGCCTCATTTGTGGAGCGATCAGCCCGTCTAGCAAGCTGAAGGGCATCGGACACAGAGACATGTCCTGCAAACAGTGGTTGAGATCCCAAGGAAAAGGGCACAGAACAGGATGCCACTGCACCAGCAGCAACCTTGCGTTCGTCCTTGTTCACAAGGGTGACGCAGAGGATGGTAGTCCCCGGATCCTGTTCGATTCGAGAATCTGCCCTGTGCGATTCGAAAATGTGCCACAATAGCTTCCAAAAGCATCCTTCTGCGGTCTAGGAGTCTAGCGATTTTCCGTGATCGAACAATGCAGGTGTGGACAACGTCAGACAAGCGGGAACAACAGCGCCCTGAGTGCGATCAGCGTCTGTGCACAGGTTACCGCTTCAGTTTTGTCACTCGCCGCAAGACATGTCCACACTGAGGACTCCACAGCCACAGATTTCTACAAGGAGCTTCTCGCCAAACGCAACACTCAGTGCTTGGGCCACGGCCTCCCAGCTGCACCCTCGTCACCCCAGGCGACCTTTTTTGTCGCGCTTCGTTGCTTCTGCAGACATATGAACAGAAAATCGAAATCTCGATATGCGCCGACCCCCGCACCCAAACCCACCCAAACCCCTGCTGCCTTCCCCGCTCTCGCCGCAACTAAACCATTTTCTTGCCCCCGCATCCCGTACCCTTTAGCCATCTTTAGCCCCTACCCGACTCTCCTCCCCTACCTTCTTGAAATATCAGGCCTCCAATGCATGCCCAAGCCCCCGTTGCCCTCACCGCCCTCATACCACTTTGTCACGGATATTTTTGTGTCCATCGTGTAACAAAACAATCGCCACTTTGTTACAGAGATTTGGGTGTGCATCGAGCCTTTGTAAACAAAAAACGCCACTTTGTTACGCACACTTGTGTGTCTATCGAGCCTGTAAAACAACGCCATTTTGTTGCAAAGATTGTGGTGTTCATCGAGCCTATGCAAACAAAAGTGCGCCACCTACACGGACACGTTTGTCTCTATCGAGCCTGTAAAAGAAAACGCTTTGTTACGGACATTTGTGTCCATGGAGTCTATGTAGCAAAAACAAGCCATTTTGTTACAAAGACTTTGGTGTGCATCGAGCCTGTGTAAAAAAACACGCCACTTTGTTACGGACATGTTTGTCTCCATCGAGCCTGTATAAAAAAAAACACGCCACTTTGTCACGGACATTCTTGTGTCCATCGAGCCTGAAAAAAACTTTGTTGCGGACATGTTTTGGTGTCCATGGGCCTATGTGCCACTTTGTTACAAAGGTTTTGGTGTCCATCGAGTTCATGTAAAAAAAACACGCCGCTTTGTTACAGACATTTTTGTGTCCATCGAGCCTGTAAAAAACAAAAACCGCCACTTTGTCTTCATTACGCAAATGCTTGTGTGCATAGAAACCGCACCCAAAGGGATCGTTCACGATACGATGCCCTTTCCTGGGGTTGCCTCGAAGAACAAAAGCATCAGGCACAAGTGCCAGTACTGCAAACCGCAGCCCCGGGTAAACACAACCGCAACGGCTCTGCACACGGTGAGACCCGAATCCCCATCAAGGACAGTAGCGACGAGCGGTGTAGACTGCGCAATGATGTGATGAGACCACAACGTCACAACACCATGAAGGAACGCTTCGTTGCATCCGCTGCGCACGAGCACCGACTTTCATCGAGCATGCCAGGCTCCGACCATCTTGCATCAGCGACCGTGGCCGCGACAGTGAGCACTAATCAGCTTGCATGGATTGCAGAATGACGCCACGCGAAAAATTTCGTGACAACACGAATTTGGCCAAATCGACAACTGGGCTCCGTGGTGAATTCATATGGTCCGTGCCATGCCACATCACGCACTGACTACGCAATGTTGGGGACCCGGGAAGAGCATGAGCAAGCAAGCAAAAAAGGCCGAGAGAGATTCAAATCTCCTTCGTTTGAATCACTTATAGAAGCTTCATAATTAGTTCATGCACTGGTACGATCAAACTCAGGACATGCATTCTGCGCATTCTCTTGCTGAGGTTCAGGCTCATTCAGCCAGCCAGCCTGCTGTCCGGAAACGTCTGCCCCGTCTACTTGCTGAACTGAAAGCTTGATTGAGCCCGGCTCCGGGTGTCGCACTCGCCGTGCGAAGAACGAAGAACGAAGCCGCAATCAGCTCCGAAGCGGGTATCCTCCTGCCACAACTCAAGGAATCACCGTCAAAAGGAGCAAAAGCTGCAAAAGCCCTCCCGTGCTCATGGAACACTGGCTTTTTGGAGGATGTGGACCTTCATCACGCGAGCATCGAGCTCCACGGTATTGGGACACTTGCCCCCAAGACCTCCAGAGAACAAAAACAGCTTTTGCACTCCCAAAAAGCCTTTGAACTTGGGACTGAAGAGGCAGCATGCAACAAAGGCCCTGGCATCAGTCAACCCTGCCACATGAAGGCAAAGCTGCAACACAGCAACATCAGCCGTTTCCCCAAGCCAGTGGCACAGCAGGCCCTCAAGACAGGAGGCCAGCCTTCAGTTGGAGCTCCCACAGGGCCGCAGGAGCGACAAGGCCCTGCTGGAGAACGCGGTTAGCACAATGACTTGGCAGTTCTAAGAAGGAACTTGATCAGCACAAATCAAACTCGTGACTTTTCAAGTTGGTGACACCAAATGACAAAACGCTTGGACGCCCAGCCTGCTTGTGCTTGACGCTGCGGTGGTGAAGGCACCTGACCGGAGTTGATGAGCACTTTAGCAGCCCATGGCAAGCTTGGATAGTTGTTCTCTTTCCTGGCAAAGCGCGTGGGAGATATCTATGTCACAATCTCAGAAGCGGGACCACGCGAACTCGTTCGGGGCGTCCTGGCTCTGATCTTACTTGAGGGCAATAGGCAATGCACAGTACGACCTTGATCTTCCTGGCCTGAAGAGCTTGCAGGATTCTAGTCGCATCGATGTTGGGTTCCGGGCCAGACGAACGATAGCAAATCAGTTTCGGCGGTCCTGCAATACGCTGCTAGCTGCCCAGGACAAATTTCACATTCTGACTTGCAGCAAAAGCTGGGAGCACACAAAAACAGCCCGGGTGCTTTTATCGACATGGGTACACCACCCCAATCAACTGATCTCCAGCAGCGGCTGATGCGTCAGGACCACGGGGGCACTTAGGGCCGCTGGAGCTCACCGTAGGCCCGCCCTAGGACCCTGCGTTGGGTTGACCTTAAACCTCAGGCGGCCCGCCATTGTTTCTGACCAGCCCCTCACCCAGGCGTCGCGCGCTCGCGGTTAGATTCTAAGCAGTTCCCAAAAGACCTTAATGAATCGTTTTAATAACAAGTGAGCGTGAACCGAGTGAATGAATGAGTGAGGAAAGATGGGATTCTCAACAAGCAAAAAAGCCATAGTTATTGGGCTCCTTCCCTTTCACAGGTTCACGCTAGCTCAATAGAATCGTGCTTTGAAGGTAGTTCCGGATATGAACAGTAAATCTTAGGGGCCAGAATATTGAACACACACACACACACACACACACACACACACACACACACACACACACACACACACACACACACACACACACACACACACACACACACACACACACACCCACACACACACACACCAACACCAACACACACACACACACCAACACCAACACACACACACACACACACACACACACACACACAACACACACACACACACACACACACACACACACAACCACACACAACACACACACACACACAACACACACACACACACACACACACACACACACACACACACACACACACACACACACACACACAACAACACACACACAACAACACACACACACACACACACACACACACACACACACACACACACACACACACACACACACACACACACACACACACACACACACACACACACACGCCGGGCCCAGCCTGGCACGGGATCGGGGCGACGTTGAACTTGACAACATAGACTCTGCGACCTTTGCAGAATTCGAGATCTTTCGCCCGCGTTTGTTGGATCAATTCCGCATGCAGTCCACTCTCAAGGCATTCACACGCACCCAAGATGATTCCAACATTGTGAAATTCGGGCCTTGGCCTGAATTTAAGCCTGACTGTAAAGAACCAAACGTACAACTGCCCAGCCCAGTTCTTAAACTCGACACAAGGTAGGTAGAGTGGGAAAACAAAATTTCTGACGACTCAGGGCCTGAGCTCTTTGCAACTTTCGAGCCTGAACTCCTTTCGGGAAATACAATTCATCCCGCACAGTCCGCAATGAGAAGGAATACCACTGCAAAAGAAAGTTTTGCGCGTCTGGAACGTACGCTTCCAGCGTGCAGCAAGAAATTCTGGTGAGCTTGAAGGAAATAGCAAAACTCGCAGTTTCGAGAAACCCAAAACAAGGAGCGAACACCCACCAGGCCCACCCCACCCCCGATAGCTACATAATTACAGCACAGCCACACTGATCGCGCCAGTAGATTGGAGATTCAAAGAATGATTCAGACTGAATCATGCCACGCCGCACGTTTG